ATGTATTGTCCACTATTAAGAATCTTATTATCCGAATTATTTCTAATGGGCTATAAAAAGAACTAAAAATACGAAGGTAGATAAAAGATTTTTCCACGTTGCAATTATGAATTCTCTCTCGAAGGAAATTTTATCGTCGCCGCAAATGACGCGATCACAATAGGTAGCCAATCTTCTGGAAAATTCGATTCTTTTACCTTTTAAATTTTTTAATTTATACGATTTATAAAACGCTTTATCGGCTCACGGCGAGCTTTGTGGTTGTACTTTATTTGAAATTCGACTTATAGCTTTTTAGAATAGAAGCGCCATTGGACGCGATTGTATTTTTCTTGAGAAATAATTTACTCCATCGGTAGAACAAAGATAGTCATAGCATTATGTTATATTTATTTTGTGAAGTTAATTTTTCTTTCCTATTCTTGTCTTTAGTTACCGCGAGTAATACAAATTTAAATAAAGTACTTATAATTACAAAATATATTACATATTGGAACGTCGGGTCGTAATAAACATAAAAAAATGCACCTAATAAATTTCACGTTTCAAACTGCTTCAAGTTTCAAGTGTTTGATTGAAATGTTCTTGTAAGGTTGGACATAAGAGATAATAAAGTACAAATTATTTCTAACGTCTGGTTGCTTTTTTTTAAAGTGATTAGATAAACGAGTTATTTAAATTAATAGCAAATTATGGACACAAAATGTTAACATTTCATGGAGCACAGTTGTTTAACAATCTCCCATCGCACCTCAAACGTTTGCCGCCAGTGGCGTTCAAGAAACAACTTTTCATCCATGTGTTTACAAACACAGCGTAATGCGTAATCCTTAGTCATAATAATTTCTTGAGCGTTGCACGCGGGTAGAATTGTAAAATTAATGTTGATTTGTATAGTATTCTCAAGTAAGTGATCTTGTATCTTTTTTGAGAAATAAATGTCTTTAAACCTTAAATTTAAGTAAATGTGTGTAAGTCAGTAAGCTGCTCAAGTCGACGTCAACCACTTACAGTAATCACTAGCGACTAGTCTAGTAAGCCGTATTAAGTCGTGTTGGGCTCTGACGAGATCGTTAGTGCCTGGGTTATTAAGTGTTAGCGATGAGATCTCGCTTCCAGCTCTCTAGAAATGCTCCACATAGTTCTTGTGAAATATGTTAATCTAAAACCTATTAACTTACTAAGGAACTATAACACACTAAGATATTAGCTGTATTGACTTCCTCCGCGTAAAATTTTTTGGCATCTAAATTTGTTTTTGTAAACCTCCTCCTCCTTTTAAGGGTAAAAATGGCGACATTAAATGGCGCTAGTGTAGCAGATTTCACTTTGACATTGACGCCCTCCATTTTCACTCTGACCACAGCTCAAGTCGGACCGTAGTCAAAAGTCCCGTTTTAAGCCGTTAAAGTGTTTTATTAAAATGTGTACTACTCGCGATAACTACAGGCAGATTTGGTAGTTATTAAAAGATGGTTTCTGTTTCACGTGAGTGAACGATAATGAGAGTCAAAATAGCTGTTCTGTCTTGAATTGTATATCCTAATTTTTTTTTGTTATTTACTTTACATTAGTATAAACTTTTGAAACTCAACTTTACTGTTAGTTTAATTTTTAATATCCATTAAATTGCTGGAATTTCAAAGTAGTGTAAACACAATTATACACTGGACTCTGCATATTAAAAAAAATAATTAAAGTTTTAATTGCATTGCAGTGCATTCTGTGACAGAAGTTTTATAGTTACATAAAGCTCTTTTTTGAGTGTACGACAGCTTTATAGTGGCTCGTGCAGTTAATTATTATTTCGTTGTAAGTTGTTGACAGTGTTATAATAGAGGATTACATTACTAGACAAATTTTGGTGTTAGTAGTGGCAGATATTACTTAAACACTGTTAATTTTTACGCTAAGAAAGCAATATGATTTCTTAGAATAGAAATAGAATTGGGTTACTAGTTTTGATTGCCTTGCACGTTGCTAAATGGTGCAGGGTTAACGTCTCTGGTAATTATTTTCTTTGGACAGACGACAAAACACATACTTGCCTGTAAATAACGGACTAAAACACAAAATCTATTAGTTATTTACAATTTAGCTACGTTCGTTGTGGTTACGGTACGGTGTCGTTGATGTCAAAGACAATTATGCTACGCTAGCGCCATCTGTTTCCTCGTAGTTGGTATTTGGAGAAACTAGCTAGCCCTGTTTATAATGAATTGTAAGCAAGGTAAGCATTAAGCGTTTAAAACCGTTGAGTTTTTTATTTTACAAGACAATATGTTTTTCGTTTGTATTTTTTTCTTTTTTAAGTGATTTGCGTGTTATTTCGTCGTCGTTACACCGTTCTGCGTGCTCTCTAAATCTTAAAACACACAATTTGACATATTGCCGTTGTAATATGCTAAATTTACAAAACAACATTCGTTAATGAATTGTGAAAATTGTGAATAATGCAATTATATTAACATTTTTATGAGCCAATTGATTTTATCTATTGTGGAACGTTTGATTTATTGTTCGCACGTTTGAATTGTGAATTTAATTATGTATTTTTTAGTACTATAATAAGATCTACTATACACATACACAGTACATAAACTTGTGTAATGCGTTGTAGCGTTGTTAGTGTCACTGTCGTGTTGGATTCAACCTGTAATATCAGGATGTATGTAAACAAATTCAAGTGCCATGCACTAGTTTATTTGTAATCCATCGAACCGATAGATGAAACTACTGTATAGGAAATAAAAAAACGTTTTAGAACGCGATTTATTTTTGAAAAACAATTTTTATCATTCGAAGACTATCCCGCCGAAATCACGACCGCAGTGTTATCGCGTCATAGTTTAAAGTAATAATCTAATATTATTCGTTTGTATTGTATAAAAGTGTCATATGTTTGGCAAGTTAAAATATAGATGGTTATACCCTGTCCTTAAATCATGGTGAAGGCATGTTCAAATTTGTCTTACTAGTCTCGCGGTTACGTTATGTAAGCGAAAGTAAATGAAAAGATTAACATTTCGTACACACTTTCTCGTAACAGCGTAATTGTTGTTATTACCATAAATTTATTATTAAGATGCAATCGCGTCGTATCTATATTGATACGAGACGAAAACGATACGCGAAGTGAGATACGCGATTAAGAAAGTGAAGGCAATTATATTTGCTATGCGCCGAACGCTGAACGCAGGCATCTACGCAACGCGGTGGCGTGAAAAATGACTATTGGAATTCCGTACTTTGTAATGTCTGTAATTAAAGTGGCTTGAAAAATATGAGATACGACACTGTTAACGGTTTAAAACACGAATTTTACTAGCTTACGTGTTTATAAAGAACGTTGCTACCGCTGCTGCAAAGCATCTGAAACATCGCGTGGTAAATATTTTTTTTTTAATTCCACACTAGTTTTTTATGAAACATAGATTAGCTTTGGGATTAAATAGAAATAATACGAGTATAATCAAATTATTATAATAAAAGTCTGTCTTGTCATCCTTACTATTTAGACAGTAAGTCTACACTAAAACTTGATATTATTAGGAATATATGGCACCCTTGGTCTAGCCGCAAACACGGCGAGCGCTGTCGCGCTCGCCCAAAACGCCCGGTTGGTATTCGTGGCTCCTTAGGAACACAATACGTAAGAGTCCATTAAAAAAAAAAAACAAAAATACATACAATTAATTTATTGATGTATATATTTATACATTATACTATATGTATTTAAATAAAACACTTAAACGGTTTAAAAGGCGATATATTTTAGTTAAACTTACTAAGGCATAATACGTTTATGCTCTACGTTGTACATGTTAAGGAATAAGAATTGATCACTAGGAACGAGAGATAAGTAAAAATACATTGGTCGATGTTATTAACTTATTATGAATAAAAACTCTAGGAGTTTGATATTCGCCGTCTCTTATAATAATACTAGCTGACTCAGCGACTTCGAACGCGTAGAATAAATGTTTTAGTTTTTTTTTTGATAATTTAAAGAGAAATCATTCCTTCCTCCATATTTTTTGGGTATCCTGAACCGTTTTCGCAGCCTACGCAACGGAAACCCAAAGGCTGAATGCTTTTTCTCGTTTTTTCGACATTTCCAATTTCTTCGCTCCTATTCGTCACAGCGCTATGTTTTATATATTTAGATTTATTTTCATTATTCAATATACACTATTTATCATTCTACATTATTACAATACACATCTATTATGTTATTCAGACATTTTTAATATGAAATACGATCTAAAACATGGTCATGCTGCTAGTCAAACAGCGCAAAAGCTTAACATCTGATCCTGAAAATATTGGGCCTTTGAAATTGCTATTGTGAATGTGAAATGTGAAAATTCGCAATAGTGAAGTCAGAATATGACAGCGAGACGCTTACACCATTCTGGACCACACTCATATGCCTGTTACAGAAGACGTTTTTGTTGAACATTAGACCATTCGTTTCTGCCTGTTCGGTCTCTACCGTCTGTAGTATATGCGAGTAACACATTTTAATAAAACACTTTAACGGTTTTAAACGAGATATATATTAGTAAAACAAGAAAATTATTGTATCTATGGCCCGACGGTTCGAATGCTTATATCGTGTTTTAAACTGTTAAAGTGTTTTATTTAAACGGTCTCTATTTTTTAATGACTCTTTAAAATTATCATTGCGGGTTTAAATCTATTATACCCAAGAGTAGTAAAGACTCAGAAGTTTGATTAACTATCTGATTCTTGATAAAGCTAGGTGAAACAGGTACAGAAATATGTCAGCTGTCTTACATGCAGGAAGCGGGGTTTCGCTTTTCGAGTTTGTAATAAATAATTTGAAATTAGAATTCACGTAATTGATACTTCTCAATTTCACTCCACCATCAAGATAACCTCTTGTATAATCAACTCGAATGCGATTAATTCACGCCCTTAGCGTACGAACGTGCGCGTGAGTTTTGCTTTCCTCGGCTCGTGACAGTCGGTTTGGTATGTGGGGCGAGAACAATCAGGGTACGACGACCACCTCGCTAATGGCATAATGGATTCATTTCTTCTTCACTTATCTTATATGTTCAATGCTTGCGTTGGAAACGGACTATCGTACGTTCCTTACAGACTAGATTTTATTTTGAAATACTGTCTGTAATTTACACGAGTAGTACACATTTGAATAAAACACTTATATGTCGCGTTTTAAGCCGTTAAAGTGTTTTATTTAAGTAGATTTAATTTTTTTTACTTTATAATAAATCCTGCTTCCTCTTGTGGGGCATGGGGCGAACACATTTCGGTGTCCGTTTCTTTATTTGATTTTAATTAACAGACAAGTAGTTGACCATACGTCTGTATGTGTATCTATATATTCTACTTTATGTAGATTCAGTTCCTGCAGGTAACCGTCTCTATAGTTCTTTAAGGTAATCGTTCCGGTCGAAAAAAAACAAACAATAAATGAAATACACGCAGATATATGTCCAGAGTACAAGATTGTTTTTTTTTTAATTCTCTATTATTGCATTCATTTGAATGTTTTCGATTTTTATGTGTAATACCCTAATACGATGATTACGCAGCCGTTTTACTTCCAATAATTTAACAATAAATTCTCTCAAGTTTTCTAACGTTTTGTATTGTTGCAGAAGTGTCGGTGACGTATCGTCGTGGGTTGCCAGTTATCACAGTACCGCTGCCGTCTCGCCGTGAAAGATGCCGGTTCACCCTTCGACCCGTTTCTCAAACAGTAGGAGATCTCTTGGAACAGGTGAGGTACCCTCAGTGTTGCCACAAACAACTTTTGTGCGTAGTGTATTTTTTCTAACTTGACATTTTTAACATACAAACACACAATTGAGATTAAATCGTGATATTCTTACAGGATTTACACTAAAACAGTTTAAGACATCACTACATAGTCAACAATACAAAGTCGCTTCTTCTCCTCGTGTGCGCTTAAGTTTTTAAAACTACGCAAAGGATTTTGACGCTTTTTATTAAACAGTTTTATTTAGCTCGACCCGTACGGAATTTCTTTTGGGTCAAAATTAAAAATTGAAATTTAAGCACCTTCCCGTTGTCAGATAGATCTGAAATTTGATACACACATTTAATTTAGATGACAATAGAATGTAATAAAATCAAAAAATTATAAATCCAAGATGGCCGCCGATACAAAATGACGGATTACATATTTTTCCTTAACCTCCTCAATATGGGTATCAAATGAAATGGCTACACACGATGATGATTTTTTTTAGTTTTCAGTGCACAAACTGTTTAACTTAAAAGTTTCAAGTTGATACTTGTTTTAATACATAGAGTGCTTTAAGTGGAAGGTTTTTTATATACAACGTTCACAGTTTTCCTGCAGTAACAGCATTGCACTCGAGCGAAGGCGGGGTGGGTCGATAGTTAGATGATATTTTCAACTTATAAAACTACCTTAACCCAGATAAGCCTACTGTCCTATATTTAGGACAGTAGAAATAAAAAAAAATATCAGAATACCCTCTTTATCTAAGATTATTTAGTCTTATGATTTGAAAAAAAAAAGGGGTCTGCTTTTTTTAAAAAAAAAAAAAAGACAGTTTTTTTTAACCTTTTTACCTTATATTTTACCTTATAAGTGTGTAATAAAAGTGCGTTGCAGACATGGCAAATGACAGGTATGTATAAAAAGTTATATTTTACTCGTGAGTTGTTTTTTTCTGTGTTAATATGTAGTTGATAAGCTTAACTTTTGTACTAAATAAATATTCTAGCAAAATAATATAAATAAATTACGTATAACTTGTTACAAATACTAGCGTACTATATATAGGACAGTAGGATAATATACATGATTTTAGTACAATAATACAACTTTTTCTTTACAGACCGTTAGCTGCGCATGAAATATTAGATGCTTTAGAAAATGTTTCTGATAATGAAGAAGACTATAGAGAACGACTGATATGTGTTCTACCTCCTCCTGTTGATTCTGACTGTCTCACTGACGAAGATTCGAATGAAGAAGATAATGTAACTTTGAATAATTTGCCACGAAACATTCTGCTTCAACCGGCTGAAGTAATGATTCAAGGGCAGATTATGGTGAGTGATACAGAAGAAGAACCTTCTGATTCTACAGGTCGAACTAAACGTAGGCGTACCTACGCATGGAGAAAACGGGACTTGGCAAAAAATCCTGTGAATTGGCCAGATGTTCAAGGCGCCCAAGATAAGCGCCCAATTGAGTGGTTTGAAAACTTCTTAGATGAAGATGCTATTTCGTTGTTGGTGTCAGAGAGCAATAAATATGCTGTCAAAAAGAATTTGCCTGGAGACATAACCACTGAAGATATGAAATGTTTCCTCTGCATATTGTTGGTTAGTGGTTATTCATGGCTCCCCCGTAGAAGAATGTATGGGAAACTCCCATCAAATGAAATGGCTACACACGATGATGATTTTATTTAGTTTTCAAAAAAAAAAAAAAAGTGCACAAACTGTTTAACTTAAAAGTTTCAAGTTGATAACTTGTTTTGAAAATACATAGAGTGCTTGTAAACCTTATTAGAGTGTAAAGGGGTTACATTTTATATACAACGTTCACAGTTTTCCTGCAGTAACAGCATTGCACTCGAGCGAAGGATCCTCCCCATACCCCCCTATGGTAGGAAAGGAGGCAAAAAACACAAAAAAAAAAAACAAAAAGGGAAAGGGGGGGAAAAATGGAAAGAATTTTCCCAGACGAAAAAGGGGGGGGTGAAAAAAAAAAAAAAAAAAAAAAGGAGAATCTTTTGGCTTTCGGGAGAGGGAGGGGTTTTGTTTGGTTAAAAAAAAAAAAAAAAAAAAAAAAAGGGGGGCCCCGCCCACCCATCAAGAACATGCTGATAGTCGAAAAGACCAAACGAATCATCTGGTTATTCCTAATGTGGGTCGAACGTTAATGATACTTTCAACTTAGAAAATACCTTGAAGCACGTTGCAAAGAAATGTGATGTTGGAGTGTGTGTCAAGTGTTTTGAAACATATCATTCATAAATAGTGTTAATCTAGTAAATTACATATAGCAATGGGTAATATAATCAATATATCAACTACATTTTTGAAACAAAACCCACAACCAAAAAAAAAAAAGGCCCCCCCCACCCCCCCGGAAAAAAAAAAAAAAAAAAAAAAAAAAAAATTTCAAAATTCAGAAAAAAGCACTGCCTTCATAAAAACCATAATTGCATGCTATATTTATAAAAATCCTAGAAATGAAACGAATAGAAGGTAGAAGCCCTATTTACGTTCGCTGAAAAGCGTTTAGAACATACAATAAAAAATAAAATGTTATAATTTTTCATGTATATGACAAAAAAATTGAAATTTATTTACTATTTTTTTCCAGATGTTTAGCAATGTAAAAACCTTCTATAATAATTCACAATATAAACAATAATTGTTGCAAAAGCAATTCATAGAACTTGACATTACGCTAAATTATTATAAATCATGTCATACACATGATCTTCTAAAACCACTAACCAAAACCACTTGTGTTGCCGACGTATTATGTTTCAACTAATTTCATTATATAACTAGACAAACTGGATATCGTTAAATTGTTTACAAATGGCTAAATATAGCATAAGTCTTTACATTGTTAATCTCCTTGGTAGTTCAATATTTAAACACACTTTCGCACTTCATGGGTCCTAGGTTTGAAGCCCGGGAAAATATATTATATTATTTATTAAACTTTTAAAATATAAACACCACAAGAATAGCTTACATAATAAAAACAATGAACTAAAGCTTATAAATAAAAGAATGCGTTATCACTAAAGACTAAAATTATATTATATTATATATTTTAGTGAGGTATAGCGACCGTAAATCGTCACAAATAGAAATAGACACAGTAATATTTGTTATAGATATGTGTTATAGTGTGTGGTGTCAATACTGATTTTCAGTGGCGCCGAGGACCAATGAAAATCAGTATTGCAACACAAGTATTTTCGTAACGTTAAGCGAAGTGGCTCCTGTTTTAGGAGTTGCCACTGTTATGATATATTGATTTTTCAAACATTGTCTATTAAGATAATTTGTTTATACATAGCTAAAGTTTTATAAAATTTGGTTTATATTATGTTTTCTTTTTTTGTGTGCAACTTTTAAATAAGTGATTATTATTATTAATATATATAGATATATTTTGAGTTTAAATATTACAAAAACTAAATAAATCGGTGTTATTTCATGTCATATGTTAGTCTTTTACAATCCACCAAGCTACGTTTATTATATACATAATTATTTTCTTGCCAGTTGAAAGCAGAAGACCGCGGAGTAGAGCGCGCGGTCGCGATGGCTTCGGATGATCGCGTGCGCATCGCGTCCAGCGACACCGTTGAAGCTCTACTCGAGAACGACTTTAGACTCGTCATCAATGACACGGAGTACTACGTCAAGAGTCCACCGCAGGTAAGTGCTGCCAATTTTATATTCCATAGTCCTAAAAGGGGTTTTCGTGTAATATTGAAACTTCTAGTCCCATCCCAGCCATAAACTTTTTTTGAAAGTCTAAGTAGGTACACATATAAATACACTAGCTGACCTGGTTCGTTCTTTTGCCATATGAAGGCGAAACTTTATTTTCATGAAAACGTCTCTTGTGAGTTAATCTTAAAACATTTTTTAGATCATTTAAAGAAGAATTACTCTTCAATAAGTGTTTTTTCGGAAACCCACAAAGACGAATAGTTTTCGCCGTTTTTCCACATTTCTCACTCCTTCTCCGCTTCTATAAGGCGCCGCCTGTGTTTTATCGCCTAAGATCTTTCTTAATAAATGGTCAAACCAACACAAACATATTTTTTAGATTCTAAACAGTAGTTCCTGAGACTAGCACGTTCAAACCATCAAACGCTTCAGCTTCATAATATTAGTGTGTACATGGTTATAGGTGTACACTGTTAAAAAGAAACTATTGATGAATTATGTATGTTCGTCATATAGTCATCTCATTTTGAACACGAAATGAATTCTTTCTATTTTTTTTTTTTTTTTTTTTTTTTTTTTTTTTTTTTTTTTTTTGGGGTGGTTTTTTTTTTTTTTTTTTTTTTTTTTTTTTTTTTTTTTTTGGTTTTTCTTCTCCCCCCCTCCTTCCTCCCTCCCCAACAAAAAAAAAAAAAAAAAAAAAAAAAAAAAAAAAAAAAAAAAAAAAAAAAAAAAAAAAAAAAAAAAAAAAAAAAAAAAAAAAAAAAAAAAAAAAAAAAAAAAAAAAAAAAAAAAAAAAAAAAGGGGGGGGGGGGTTTTTGAGGGTTTTTAAACAGAAAAAAAAAAACAAAAAAAAAAAAAAAAAAAAAAAATTAAAAAAATTTAAAAAAAAATTAAAAAAAAAAAAAATTTAAAAAAAAAAAAAAAAAAAAAAAAAAAAAAAAAATTAAAAAATAATTTTAAAAAGAAAAAAAAAAAAAAAAAAAAAAAAAAAAAAAAAAAAAAAAAAAAAAAAAAAAAAAAAAAAAAAAAAAAAAAAAAAAAAAAAAAAAAAAATTTTAAAAAATTAAAAAATTAAAAAAAATTTTAAAAAAAAAAAAAAAAAAAAAAAAAACAAAAAAGAGAAAGGGGGGAGAAAAAAAAAAAAAGGGGGGGGGGGGGGGGGGAAAAAAAAAGAAAAAAAAAGGGAGGGGGGGGGGGGGGGGGGGGGGGATTGGGGGGGAAAAAAAGGGGGGGAAGGGGGGGGGGGGGGGTTCAGGTCCGGCGGGGGGGGAAAATTTTTTCAATTTTTTTTCGATTTTTATGTATAGCAATAGTTACGCAAGAACACGAAGAAAGCAAGATTGTCAGTCGCTTAGAACAAAATTTATTGACTATTATTTTAATATTTATAATGATGCCAAGATAACACGACAAACGCCCAAATACTAATATGAATTATCATAAACACAAGCTAGAATTTAACACACGCCACAGTTCATTGAATTTCAGTTCGATGAAACTCACGCATTTAATTAATAACCAATTAATTTGACGCTTGACTAACTGTTCTTTTAATCCTGTTTCACAATAATGTTTTCGTGGAAACTGCTGGAGGCAATTATAATGAGTACGTTTTACTTAATTTGAATGTTTACGAACGTTAAACCGAGGCTTAACGAAGTTCACGAAGATTCTCGTCGTGTATATATTGCTAATTAATTTATTCGTTTGTATATTAAATAAATTGTATATTAGCTTTGAAGGCTTATGGATAAACAAGAGACATTATACTAGGGAACCTTATAAGCTTTCAGAGTTTCAAGTTGTACGTAAAAATCTTCAGCAAAATAACCAATAAGTTAGTGCGTCGGTTTTGTATGTAAAAATAACTCTTAAATTAAACGCGTTTAACGGTTTAAAATGTGAAATCTACGTTAACTTACAAAATTTGTTACTTACACGGTCGGACGTATCGGATGCTTTACAGTAGCCAGTGTCACGAAGAGACTGAAGATGGAGGGTGTCCCATGTAATGTCGAAAAATCTGCTACGCCAACGCCATCTGTTTCGTCATAGTTGGTATTCGGAAACACTGGCTGGGTCTTTACAGAAATGACCCACTTGGGATCTAGTGTTTTTAATATAGCATATTAGGTGTTTTATATCTTGAGGCCGTCTTATTGATTATCACTGTCAACGGCCGATAACACATCAACCCGTATAGGATCAGCGATTGTTTATAGGAGCGAAACTAGTTTAAACCCCAATCAAAAGTTAGTCTAGCAGGCGTTTGCCCGGAAATTGAAGCTTCGGAGTCTACTGACTTCACATTGAGTGAAGATATTGGCATGAATGAAAACTTTTTAATTATGGGCCGAGGCATTAATAATTCCATGATACAAGTGTAACGCTTGTCAGTTCAATGGCAGCAATAAACTATTGAGCTTTGGGTTCGAGTCCTGAGGTGGCATGTCTGTAAAATCTTTTTCTTTTGATCGGTGGTCTGGAACATTGGAATATTTAACTTGGTGGTAGGAAACTAGGGTGGTGGTACGTGGTGCATTGTGAGTTATAAGTTTGTATCCTAAATACTGCCTATAGTTTACGCGAGTAGTACACATTTAAATAAAACACTTTAACGGTTTAAAACGCGATATATTAGTTAAACTTATTTGAAAATGATTTTTAACTTCGGCCCGAAGTTTCAATTTGCAGGTCACGGGGTGGCCACGGCTGCTGCAAAGCAAGTTAAAAATCATTTTCAAATAAGTTTAACTAATATATCTCGTTTTAAACCGTTAAAGTGTTTTATTTAAAAGTTTGTATCCTTATAATTGTATTCACAAATTTTTGTGTCTTGTTAATCCGAAAACCTTTGAGGGAATGTAATGCAATTTTACGTTTAGGCTTTGATGATTTGAAAGTAACGAATTATTTTTCTTTCATCTATACTAATATATAAGGCCGAAGAGTTTGTTTGTTTGAACGCGCTTATCTCAGAAACTAGGGTTCGAATTTAAAAAGTGTTAACCATATATCGAAAAAGCTCAAACATCGCGCTGTGACTAATAGAAGCCAAGATACTAATAATAAGACAACGTGAAAAAATCGGGTGAAATTTTTCATCTCTGTGGGTTTCAGATGCGTACGCTGCGAAAACGATTCAAGACGCCCAAAAAATATGTATCAAAGAATGATTCCTCTTTAAATTATTTTAAAAAATCTTTTAAGAATAACTTGCAAGAACGATGGGTCCGTCGCTTTCGACCTAGCAGCTAAAATTTAGAAAGATGTAGAGATTTGCAAAAACAAATTTCGATGCCCAAAGAAACTATTCTACGCGAAGTCGCTGACACAGCTACTTATCTTATAAATATTAAAAACTCAAGTGTAATTGAGATGTAAATAAAATACTTCAACGGTATAAAACACGATTTACTATAATAGTTATTAAAAAATATATTTTCACTACGGAAATTTATAATTGGGAGTGCTTTGAAAATACGGCTAAACGTATAAAGACCTAGATTCTTTTGCCTTGACCTATTAATTCATAGAAATAGTTAACAATGAGACGAGAGAAAAAAAAACATAATTTTTACTTCCAGCCAGTAATTTGAAGTATTACGTGACTCCAGCGTTTACATTCAGCCCGATTAAATAAGGTTTCCACTAATTGTGAACGCAATTAGGTTAAGTAGGGCGCGAGAGCCTCCGCGAATCGTTTTGATTCATTGAAGAGGTACTTGTAGTAAATATTTTAGAAAATACGTTGACATAGGTACAGCTCTAAAAATATCATCAGAGATTTTATAGAAGTTTACACGAACAAGACTATAATGCAAGGATACAGGATCAATAGATTCAAGTAAGGTTATAAATAAATAAATAAAATAAAATATAAGATGTGGAACGCCGATCTTTGGGCATGGGGTGATACATTCTGTATTTGCTTCTGATCGATTTATTTATAAATTACTGATAATTTGAGAACGTTAATATTCTTTATATGTTATTGCACATGATGGCATAATATAAATAAAATAAATGATTTTAGATTAAACAAAATTTACGCTACCTGTGAATTCGAAGATAATGTGTAGGACACAAGGCATCTTCGAATTCTTTTCGTTTAGCTGAATTGGTTTGAGCCAGTAACGTAGTGGATGCCGGAAAATTTTCAATGCACTGCCTGATCGAGGCTTACGTTTTCCAAAAATTTTAAACCAAAAACTAAACTCTTAACTATTGTGTCACGATGCCGGTAGAATTACAATGGCAAAGAAAAGTAAATTTAGTGCTATCGGTTGAAAGTAATTAAACATCTTCCTTAAAATAAAAGCTTAGAAACTTATTTTAAGGAAGATGTTATATTGAAAGTCGATGAATAATCTGGTTAAAAGTTTAAAGAATAATTAACACGATTTCTTTTTAAATTTGATTTCGTTAGATGAATTTAGTTAAGAGCAAAGTAAGAGCTGAATGGCTTCACTCAAGCGTCTTTAGTTTCTTTAGTGGATTGAAGAGTGGCGCTACATGGCTTTTAGAGACAAAAGCTAAACGCTACTGTTACAAGCATCTGTTGCTGTATACTTTTCTAAGTAAATTTGTTTTGTAACTTGCTAAAGATTCGTCTAAAAATGTTTATCGTATAACATGAACACGGTTACTAAAACTATCTAGTACTTTATAATCTGTATTTATAACTTAACGTGTTACTTTTTGGTAGATTACAATGTATCGAAGTCAAACGGCAAGTTGTGATGTGGCTTTGTGTACGTGCTGCCAGTTTTGTTAAATACTGTCTGTAGTTTACGCGGGTAGTACACATTTAAATAAATACATTGACGGTTTAAAAGAAATACTAGTTAAACTAATTTCTCTCTTCGAGTTTCTTACTTTGAGTCTCCCCTTGACCACGGCTGCTGTAAAGCATCCGAAATGTCGGGCCGTAGGTAAAATCTAATAAGTTCAACTAATATATATCGAGTTTTAAACCGTTAAAGTGTTATTTAAATATGCTTTAGTGATAGTAATAATTACTTTGTATATTTTAAACAATTCATTAACAAGATTTACATACGTTTTGTGTACCTCACCTACTCTCTCTTCTAATCACGCTGTTTTGCTAGCGGTACCCCAATTCCATTATTTGTTTTAGAATCAATCAGTATTTTATTTATATTTACATTTCACTTCGCCAAATTTAAATAAATCATGTTTCAAATTATTTTACACCGCTTCAAAGAGCGCTCCTTTACATGTAAATAATATCCACTATAAGGGTTATTTTATAATAAAAAAAAATCTATACATTCAAGGTCGACAGTCCATCTAGTTTAAATGTAAGTATACCCCATCCTCCACTATCATAGATATATGTAAATTCGATGACATTTGACGAAGACTGGTGGCTGGCGAACGTTTTTCGCTGGACTGTACATATTAAAGTGAGACCACTAATGAAACTAAGGGGTGGATTCCTCGCCACTTCATTTCCGCGTTCGTTAGAAAACCCGATGAGGCCGGTCGTCTAATGAGGTATTGTGCAACGGCTTTGAATTGCGAGATGAAAAATCTTTTCGCACGGTAAAAGTATTACTTTAAATCACGCAAACGTGAAAAGTATATTATAATAATAAAAATTATAAAAATATTGAATTAAATGTTTTCATCCACAAGCAGCAAACAAAATTAAACATTAACTAGTACGTATAATATGTATAAATTTGCAACGATCGGATAACACTGGGGTAACTCGATTTTCTGACAGGTGAAATTTCGTTACAGAACATATTTTTCTACAAAGAAATCTTTTAGATTAAGTCCAACGCTATCATATGCTTACATACAATATTCAAATGGATATGTAAAACATGGAAGCGATTTATGAATGTTTGTATTTTTTATTTATAATATATACCTATTGTAATTAAAATCCGTAAGCTTTATTTGTTTTATATAACTGTTTTTATAAAAAGTCTTTTATATTTTACGTTTTACGGTGTACCTTATCAAGTTACGCGTATTCATATATACCTTACTGATTTAACCACTACGTTACGCGTTCATATAATATACAATGTACTAATAATATCCTAAACCCTGCTAACTTTATTCATAACAGGCTTACAGCGACGTTAATTAAAATTCGTTAAATAGGGGCGCGGTTTATCCGTCAAAAATCTCATAAAATTTAATACCGCCACGTTACGCGTAGGGATCACGCACTTTACGGGAAATGTTTCGAATACATTGACTTTTAGATTTTTGTTCGGGATTAATTAAAATTCCTCTCCAAATATTACCTTCATATACAATGAAAACTCGGTTTGAGTGTTGGTAAGACAGTTATTTTTAAAATTCTCGAGTTTTATTAGTTAATGATTAAATATACTTACTTTATACCTATGTTAATTTATATCGAAGGTGAAGGAGTATGGAGGACGAACTACGCGTTGCCGGATGGCCCGATGGATCTTTAAATATGTGATCATAAATAGCCCAGAACGAATTTTCACAAAATACGCTACGATTGAATCCATAAGATTACTTTTAGTAGGCAGTAAGTTCTATACTGCGTCAGTGACCTGTAACACGAGCCATCGTTCGTGGCCAAAATCTCTGAGCAAGAATAAATCGCGTCCCGATTCTTATTACCCCCGCGCTATGTCAAAATAACAAATTATCCATATACGTCTGTTATGTGTCAATGACATTTTGTCAACCGTCAATGCAACTATATCGACAATACAACACTAGGCACACACTATTACAAGTATTTCTACCATTTAATAGGTGTTAAACGAACTATCTTGTCATTTTGGTGAACGTAGCAGCACTAGGTATGTATATTAAAAATGTTTTTTTTTTTTTTTCAATTTAAAAATGGAAAATAAATTGAAAAAAATTTCGAATCGGGCAGGACTTGAACCGGCATCGTCAGCGTTCGGTGCTGTTGCTCTGTCTAAATTATATAGTGCCTTCATGTGCAATAACATGTTAAAAATAATGAAGTTTTCGAATGTATTTTTAATATAAAAGTCAAATAGCCTGTTGTAGCATTAACGTTTACAATGATTCACCTAGTGTCGAAGAATCGTTTTATCTATATGGTAAATGATTAACTGTAAATTTTTTAATCAAACAAATTACTTTCCTTGCACAAAATACAGCCTGATCAGGCTGTACTTTCCTTGCACAAAATACAGCCTGATCAGGCTGTGTAAAGGAGATATAGAGATATATTTTATTATTCATTATTTATACACTTTTATAAAATGCCTATTATAATATATTTCTTGTTGTATATTGGCATTTTAAAGCACTTGTTATAAGCACAATCGCTCGACAAGCCATTGTTAAAATGTCTATTCTTTGTGAGACCTTCGCAAAATATTGTGATAGGACAAACAATCGCTTGCTAATTCAGTTCGTTAGGTGCACACATTTTTCGATTGCAGTACATAGTCTGAATGTTGCATAGTCAATATTCGCTTTCTATTGAGTACAATGGCTTTCATGCAGAAATATATATTCTTGAATTGTAGATGGGAGGCCTAGTGTGGAGTCTACCAAATGATACTAAAGGTATAATTGGGAAAAGAAGTACACACAGGTTAAATTTTAAAAGAATTCTTCTCTTTGGAAGATTAAGGTTATATTTCAAACCACAAACTGTACAACGTAGATAATTTTCTAGAGAGATGGCGATTTGAAGTGTCATTCTTATTAAATACTGTCTGTGGTTTACGCGAGTAGTACACATTTTAATAAACACTAACGGTTTAAAATGCGATATTTTTATTTGAAAATGTATAACTACGGCCCGGCGTTTCGGATGCTTTGCAGCAGCCGTGGTCACTAAAGATGGAGGGTGTGTCTATTGTCAACTTAAAAATAAATAAAATAAAATAGTACAAAGTAGTTATAATAATCTTCAAATAACTTTAACTAATACATATCGCGTTTGAAACCGTTTAAGTGTTTTATTTAAATGTCATCATTATGTCTGCCGCTAGTCGCTACATTGCACTGAAGTCGGCTAGACCCTGTCGAAGTGCGCTAACTTCACACTTCGTTACGCTGTCAGTTGACATTCAGTGCTAATGACAGTTTCGAATTGTCAGTTGACGTCCCGTACTAAGTACCTACGTGTTTAAATGAATTCAAAGTCCCACATAGTTTAATACTGGTGAATCCGGGCATATTTTAATATATTTCGCTTTTTTAATTGCAGGAACGCCTAAGTGCTGAAGAGATAACTCGTCTCAGCGATGTTAGGAATCTAGTGAATCAGTTGTACGAAGCGCTGAACGTGCGAGAGCACCAAATAAAGAAGGAACGAGAACTGAGGGCGCAACTCGAGAAACTGTCTACTGAACTACAGCCGTTGGAAGAAGTAAGTTATAAGGGTTTCAGCCAATTTATATTAATAATTTATTATTCAAACCAATGATCCATATTTTTAAATCAAATGCGTATTTTTCATTAATTTCAATCAAAAATTTCAATAATTTTAATTAGTATTTTTCATCTTATAACAATCTCTTATTTTCTTTTAATTAATTTACAGAAGCGGATGTCCCTCGAAATGGAAACTACCCGCAAAACATCGCTTTTGACGTGGGTAGGTCTGGGGCTCATGGGCGTTCAGTTTGGAGTGCTAGCCCGTCTCACGTGGTGGGAGTACTCTTGGGATATTATGGAGCCTGTCACTTACTTCGTCACTTATGGTACAGCGATTGCTGCGTACGCTTATTTCGCACTTACTAAACAGGTAATAAATAAAGGAAGCGTACAAAAGTATATTTTTATTGTAATCAAATGGATGGCATTATTAGATTTTTTTTCTAATAGAAACAAGTTATAATAGTTTTCATTTCTCTCCCAGGAATACGTCTTGCCAGATGTGAAAGATCGGCAACATCTGATAACGCTACATAAAAAAGCGAAAAAGATTGGACTCGATATTAATCAATATAATTATCTTAAGGATGAGGTAACTGTTCCTACATTTAACATGTCTTACTTTATAAAAAAAAGGTTCAAGAACTTTTACGAGCTATCAGAAGTGGGGTCGGCATATTAACACCCATTTTGTCAACTTTTTTTATCATATTGGATGGCAGACAAGTACCTGGTTGGTTACTTCACGACTTTTTCATCTGTTGACGGTGGTTTGTGACCCAGAGAGAATTTCGATATACTCACCACCCTTTCAGTATCAATATTTTCATCATATATATTGACTAGAAACATATTGGACCAAGTGGGTGTCATACCCACCATTTATTATTGGTTAGCATTGGTTACCAACAAACCCGTCAAAGCCTCACCTTTACCAGTTGCTACTGTTCTTCCAGGTCGATAAGCTCCAGAAAGACCTAGCACGCCTTCGTGATCCACTACACATTCATCTGCCCCTCCATTCGAAAGCGGAGGACACTAAACGGTCTCCGTTGACCAAAATTAAGGACATGCTCGAAGAGACCACTAAAAAAATTAAAATGACGTAATAAAAACTTCGTGTAACGCGTCCTTAGATGCGTCTAGATTAAGTTTGTTGAATTTGACGTGAATTTGGGGAACGCGGACTGTGGCATTATTAAATGATAATAAAAATAATATTAATTTCATGATAAAAGGTTTTATTTCGTGGCATCAAATTACAATCTTATGAATCTCAGCTATTTAAGTGAATATGTATTTACTTAATACTTTATTAGTTCTTGACAACAAAAGTTAGGTAATTATGGATTTTATATGTTTGTTTGTCAATTTTCAAACTTTATTGTGTTTTAATTTTAAAGTTATTTCAAGCAATTATTCCCACTTAATAAATAACTTGGTATGTTAAGAATGCCTGTAGTGCCATAGTACGCGTTTCCTTACAATCAAGAGATTTTAGGTGAATTTTGCTGTTATATTGTTAAAAATAGTTGTTTTCAAATACCTTACCAGGTAGAGGCTTGCCGTGTGAATCTAAACTTTTATATCATAGCTAATATTATTATTTAAAGTACATACTTCTGTATAAGAAGTGAAAAAAAAACGTTTAGATAATTTACTAATTGTTAAATGATTTTGACTACGTTGTCTTCAATTTTACTTGTTTTCAGAACATATTTTTTCTACGAAAAGGAACTTTATGTAGTTGTTATAAGACTCAATTTTGAACAACGCAATTATTGACCCCAAATTCAGATGAGTATGCTAGAACATTTAACTGTCAAAATAAATCATACTGTATAAGACGTTACACATTATATATACATATATAACATGTGACTTCAAACAATGCACAAAACTTGAATTACGTTTAAATAGTTATTTTAAAAGGAAATATGTTTATCAACGTTAATTCTGTTTAAATTTATTGTAACGGAATACCTATTTTATTGTCTATAGTTTACTCGTAGTACACATTTAAATAAAACAGTTTGAAACGCGAAATATGTTGGTGAAATAGTATTAAACTACAACGCGACTGCAAAGAATTCGAAATGTCGAGTAGTTAAAGTTAAGTTGACTTATATATAGCGCGTTTGAAACCGTTTCAGTTTTATTTAAATTAATATTTTATGATAAATAGTAGTGTTTTATATCAATTGTTACTCGTTTAAAAAACTGCTCATGTTTTTTTAGTATACATAATATGTTATGCGTGTAACTTAAATATTTTTTTATATTAGTCGCGAGTAAGTAGGTACATTTATTCCGGACTATTTCATTCGTTTAGTCTGTGCCAACTGAATATATTTTAAGTAAATATTAAATTGCACAATTATATCTTTAACACCTAATGTTATGAATGACTTAACACTTAAAGTATTCCTATAAAATTCTAAGTTGTATTTTCTAGTCCGATCCAGAAAATTAGTCATTCTGGTCACTACAAGACTATGAAAACGGAATAATTGAATTAACTCTCGCATTTGTTCCTCGTTTGCTAATCGCTTGCCAGATATCTATTGTTAAATGTAATCTGTACCTCGAAGAGTTTGTTTTAGAAAGAGACTTCTAGAAATATCGTCGCGAAGAAGACGTAAGTAGATTGCACATCCGATATTTAATTTCAGCGATTCTCAAAGTACCACTTCTTCAAAAGCGAGAGAAGCACCGGGTTCAATTTCTATCTGTTAAAACAACAACTAGTTTTCCTTGGACAACTATTTGACTTTGAAATCTTTAATATTATTTTACATATTACAAATAATGGTTTTTTTTATATTTAAAAATCTATATAGTTTGAAAAAAAATCATCACGGGCGGGTCTTGAACTGGCGTCCACTTTCCGAGCTTCTGCTTTAACCAACTGAACTATAGTGTACAGCAGTGCCGCAGCACGAACGGCTGTCGACGCCGGTTCAAGTCCCGTTCGTGTCGTAAATTTTTCTATATAATATTTCTATCTAAATAGACATTTAATTTATATAACTGAGGAAATAGAAAGGAGTCCCCGAAAACGGGGTTTTATTCCTCACATCTTCAATTGTGGACAAACATACACATATTTCGACGTAACTGATATCTTTGAGTGCAGATTATATTCATGTATTTAGCCGCTCTGTCAATAGCACAAACTATTTTGTTGTGCTTGCGCAATTCGAATTTTACATTTAAGACGAATATTAAAAAATATATTTTGTGTATTTTCGCTTTATTAAAGTGTAATAAGTTTATTTTATTTTTTTCTACTAACATGTGACGGTTTGTTAACAATTTAAGGATAAGGGTTCGTTTAAACATAATGTAAGAAGCTCCTTCCCCCTTTTCCCCTTTAATGCTTACACAATAACCTTGATATATGTTTTTGCCTTTTTCGTACCTAATCTCTTTTATTATTGATAGTGATAGGTTGTATAGATTATACAATATGGTTAGCCTAGAGACGATATTATTTATTTAACAAACTATCCGGTTGTGTTTTTACAAACCCGACTTCGGCCGGAAATCCCGATATGGAATGGGTGGTAGGAGTATAAAAATTCCGTTTAAATCACGAACCACCATCCACAGGTGGAACATATTGTTACATATTCTATGGCTGGGGTATCTTACTTTACCTCTGTCATTAAAAAATTAACAAAATATAAATGTTATAACCTTAGTTTACCGCGGATGACGTAAACACCATTTAGACTTAATACTAGAAGGGCTCTCAGCTTGATTTGCATTTTCACAAGTATTAGATAAGAAATTGGAAACAAATAGGTCGTAAAACCCCGTTGTATAGGGTAATGTTAATTAAAAATAACTTATAGATTAATAGAAAAAAATTTACGCACTTGCTACACTCTTATCAGCTAAAATGGTATAACGTATTTAGAAGTATGTCAAACATAGCTTTCTTACTATAAATTGAGGCTGCTAGAGCCAGAGTGGCCTAATAACAAAAAACATGATTATCAGAAAGAAATAAAATAAAAATTAGTTTAGGCGAAAATTAATTTATACTAAGTATTATTTGTGTTAGAATCATGTTAAACATTTTTAGACTATGAGAATATAAATAACTCAAGTCATAAAATTGCAGTTAGGCTACTCTGCCTCTAGAGGCTTCAATTTGTATTATCTTAAGTAGTTGTTACGAAAAAAATCACTTTTGAACGCCACAAGATTATACGCGATAAATGAGAATCATTCATTTGTTTTTGTTTTGTCATAGTTTTTAGAAATACGGGTGAATTCGATATAGTAATTTCCAATCGCATTTTTAACACAATGCCTACCAGAAGTTATTTTTACTAGCTGGGTTTTCGTTAGATTTTTGGAAGATTTGGCTTCTCTGTAGGTTCTCTTTGATAGATGTAATTTAGTAATAACATAAAAGCCGTAGGTTTAATGAAGGCTGTGAAATTTAATGTGAATAGATCCATTCTTTCAAGCTGGATTTTTTCTAACGCTGTAGCTGTAAGTCTAGATATTAAAAATATTGCCTTCGTACCTTCTTAATTAAACTTGCTCGTTAATTTTAATTAGGCGCTAATTTTTCCCCCTAAGCTTTGGCACTTTTAAAATCCTTCGATATTATACACTACAGAAATCTGATTTTATCTTAAAAAACATTAAAGCACATTATTGCTTTATATTAATTAAAAATAATTTCCAGACTGACTAATTCCATTCCAAAGGGTCCCAAACCTATGATCAATTGAGTTTGATATCGTGACGTTTGAGACTAAGTAGTTCAGTTGTTAGCACGAAAAGCGGTTCGTAGCTTTGATTCCTGCTAGTGTTAAGTTCTTGAATCTAAAATAGATTGTTTCATACGTATTAATCATTTATTCAGCAGTTTTGACTTGAAATTATGGTTCTAATGAAAACGTTGTAACTAACTATACGCAATTTTTTGTAAATATGAATGTATTTGTAAGCGCACTTTCATTCCTAAGCTTGATCTTGTGATTTTGGCCTTTTAAACTTTCTACACATAAGTACTAACAACTGTTGTTCATATTTTTCAAATATACACTTTATATATTTAGATAGTAAGCAGAGCAAGGCTTCTGACTAGTTTAATTGTACTCTGCTAAAATACTATTACAATATATAAATTAGTCCGCTTTTTACTAAGAAAACAAAAACACATCAAAATGTCTAAACACTGTCTGTAGTTTACGCGAGTAGTACACATTTAAATAAACCACTTTAACGGTTTAAAATGCGATACATTTCAGTCTCCCCGTGACCAACGCTGCTGCAAAGCCGCCGAAACGTCGGGCCGTTGTTAAAATAATTTTCAAACAAGTTTTACTAAAATATATCGCGTTTTAAACCGTTAAAGCGTTTTAATCAATCAAGAAGTCTGTTTTTTATACTAGAGCTGGTATCTGTGACTCTATAGTTTTATTCATTGCGCTGAGCGCGAATGGCCCTAAGTTCGAACCCCGAAGAAATAAATATTCTATATCCTTCTTTAACTTATGTAAGGTTTCATTTCAAAATGTTTCGAACAAAATATTTTTTATATTGCCATTATATTTAGCGATTATAGTTTATTTTAGTAATATTAAAAAAAAGACTTGTTTCTATATTAAAACTGTATTTACTTAATACTAGACACTGTTCTTGTTAATATTAATTATAGGCCTAAGTATAACTACTTGTTTCACTCAACTTGCCAAATCATCCTTCCTATTTATAACTTAAGTGTCAATCTAATAAAGTTGGAGGTACTTGTGATATCAAGTTATTGTAACACTTGTCCTGTATAAATCCGAAGACCGCCATCTTTATTGGGCAGACAGAAAGGAGCGATGATCAGTTGTCACAATATTATAATCAACTAAACTCCATGTTATGGTTACTATTTTGCATTTTGTTATTACGGTCGTTCCAATAAATTTTTCAGAAAATTCTCGGCGTTGTTTTTATCCTTCCATGAAGATTATAACGCTACAACCTTTTGAAATAGCGCTTATATCCACTTATAACAGTTTAAAAAGGAGATTTAGTCTTTGCGCGATACATTTTTAAAATAGCTACTTCGTCGTGCAAAAGTGTTCTAAAGATATATAGATAGCGCCACTCATCACACACGTATATTAAAGGGATTCTAAGTGTTTTATTAGCAAAACCTGAAAGCTGTCTGATTATATATATTTTATCAAATGCATACGCATAAGATTTTTTAAGCAACAACGACGTACAAACAAACATACGGTTTGGTTTTCACATAAAACAGAACAGGGTAACTTAGGCACACAGAATATAAATAATTTATAGATTGAAGTTATCTCAATGTATTAAGGTATCATTTTCTAAAGCCTCCGACGGTGATAAGGGCTTAGAGCCGAAAGGATATAAATCTATGCTTTGCACATGCGCTCTGACCGACACTCCCGGCGCGATACCAAAATAATCCTTTCCTATATTCCTAATAATGGTCGTTTGGGGCTTAACATTGTATCCTATACCAAAAATTGGTTTACTACTTTCACCACTGTCGAATTCTTCTTTAATAAATGGCGCCTGAGAAGGCTTTAGCGGTACGTAAGGCTTCTTCGTCGTTCTAAAAGGTTTGCTGCTCGGACGCCACGGTTTGCCTGCAAGTAATCGTTACTAAGTTCGTGCGCTTACGCAGTGCTCTCGTGCCGATTAGGTGGTGTAATAAAAACCAGTTGTGTTGTGTATGATTTATTGCGATCAAGCAATCATAATTCATTCCAAGCTCGCTCCAGTGCAATTAAAAATTGTGATCTCGTATTCTAGTTAGATGTTAAGTTAATTCGTTCTTTCCTTACTAAAAGAACTCGTGTGCCTTGACAAGATCACCAGCGCCAATCGTTTGGTACCCGTTATGCATCACCTTTGCTTGGCTTCGGGCCAAAACTGCTCGTTTCTTCGTCCACGTAGCTTATGTCTTGGTTTTCTGATTCGGGTGTGTAAGGTGGGGCATGACCGAAACTGTTGGAACTAGTGTCACCGCTGTTAACGTCACTCGGCGGGTCTGGTCTATCTGAGTCTGGTGATGGGAAGGGCGGTGGCTTGACGTGACCAGATGCGGCTGTTCCATCGGGACCTATAAATTTTGTAAAAGCATTGTTAAAAGATAAAAATGTAAATTACAGATATTGATACTGGTAACCAATTAATGTTAATATTTAAGAAGTTAATAAATCTGTAAGCAACGGGAAGCGGTTATTATCTTAAGCAGAATTTTAGTCGTAAGTTCTTAAACATCGATGAATGGCATTCAAAAGTTTAATATACTACTGAAATGTATATTATTGCACTTATATGTAAAGGTCAGTAGCACATACGCACACAAATTATATTATTATGAACTGAATATATTTTACTTAAATAAACTTCCAATAACGTATTTTAAAAGTAGTTTGTCATTTCTTTTAAATACTGTCTGTAGGTGAACGCGAGTAATACACATTTAAAAACAACACAATACTGTAACGGTTTAAAACGTGATACATTTTAGTTAAAATCTCCTCGTGGCCATGGCTGCTTCTAACAACTAAACGTAAGCCGTAGTTAAAATAATTTTAAAATAAGTTTAACTTATATATATCGCGTTTTAGACTTAAAGTGTTTTATTTAAATCTATCTCTTAAGAAAAAGAGATAGATTTAAATAAAAGCTTAAGTCTATTTCTTTATACTCTCTCACCTTTAAAAACGTCATCAGCTCCATCATCATTAGGGGCAAAGGCTGGTGCTACTGAAGCTCCAACAGAACTGACATCATTAAACTCAGGCTCATACTGACTAGGTAATGTTGGGAAGTAGGATGGTATAAATGGGTCATTGCTGTTCTTGACTATTCTGTACCCTATACCGGGGCCAGCTATATAGTGCACTGTCCTGTAAAACGTATGTATAAAACTATATACGTCTGTATAAAACTATGACATATTTTAATTCTCAAAGTCATTAGTAGAAAGGAAAGTAGTAGTTAGTGCAGAAATATTTAATTTTAATTTTTTAATTTTATAAATTATTACCTTTGCACGCCTTTGTCGTCCAAAAACGTGTATGATCCTCGGACGTTACCATGGGAATCACTAGTCTCTGTTCTTCTTTGGTCTGGCCCAGCTGATATAAATCTATAAAAAATATATAACTTTACGATTGGATAGATTACTAAGAGTAAAAACTATTTAGAGAGAAACAAGAAGATAAAAACATACTGGTTTTAATTCCACTCTTATATATCGCAATAGATTCTAATTTAAAGAAACTTTAACGGTTTAAAAAGCAAAATATATTAGCAAAATTTTTTTTGACAATCCGACGCTTGAATAATACTCTGCAATCGTATTTATTTATTATATTTCTTGTTTCTGTTAAAAGTGTTATATGTCAGTAATAGTCTACGCATTTAAAATTAGCCATACTTTGCACCATTAGACCAACCAGCCCATCAATGTAATTGAAGATTATGACTTCGATGTCCTCATACCTATAAGAACCATCCAATCCCCTTTGTACTGCTGTCTTGCCTCTTGGGTTCTTTTCGTTCCTTACTAACGGTGCTCTATGGAAGGGCGATCCTATGCCTCTAGGTGCGTCTGGGAAAGCCGAAGACACGTGAAACCCAGTGTCTCTGCCAGCGATATATGAGACGTCATGTCTCTCTCCAATATCATCCACGAATGAGTAGTGTCCTGGAATACAACAGAAATAATTCTATACATTATGTAACATGTAGTTTTTTCAGGGTATTGGTTAGCAAGCCCCGTATACCTGCTCACCCCTCTAATCTAATGACGCTGGAAATGGTATGTGACGTCACTATTTTCTTTCTTTCATTAATAACAATGGGAAAGCTTTAACTAGCTTTTTACTTTTAAAGCTTTTGATGTTTGACTCTACAGTCGGACGTAAAGATCGTGACTAAATCGTCGTCAATATCATTAATTAACGCCTTTGTAGCTTGGGTGAAGCGTAAGAGCTTTTGGGTTCGAATTCCTAGGAAGAAATAGGATGTCTCGCTCGAACAAGCACAGAGGTCTGATCAACTCTTGTCTGTGTAAGAATTAATCAGTGAAACGGGCACAGACGTATTCGCTCTTGAAGTCCCATTTGCCCACGGAGAGAAATGGGATTTCAAGTTTAATGTATAGTAATTATTAATTACTTACCTTTAACATCTCCCCTGCTATCTGCGTTTTCGTTTTTAGTATAAGTTCTCGTGTCTATCTTGTAGGAGTAACTTGGATCTTCGTTGGGATCAAAGTAGGGGTCATCCTTATTCCCAATTGGACCTCTGGGTCTCTGGTCGAGGTCTATTTTGCGATGTACGTTAGGTCCTTTTGCACGGAAACTAAAATATTGTTTTTTTTTCCATAAGTTAAATCTGTTATTCCTTTTACATGCCAAATACAAATGGTTTTCGTTTTATTGATAAATTTTGCTTTAAATATGTGTTCAAACATTTGAGCAAGACACGAAGTAATTATAATATCGAGTTTTCGGATAATCGAACCCGGTACTTACAACTGCAAAATAATCTAATAAAAATTATATATATCGTATTTATAAAAAGGTAACTAAATGTTTACACTTGTACGAACGGGAGTCAACTTAGTAACACTAGAAATTTACCCCCTAGGTCCAGCGGTGTATATAGTTTCTTTCACTTCTTCAGTTCCTGGTTCTCTTGATCCAAATCTACCGCCTACCACCCCGTTAGCGTTGCCCTTTGCTAGATGATAGCTTGAACCTCTGTCTTTGTTTACATATCTAAAAATTAAAATTATTACTTAGAGAATATTAATTACAAGATCTTAATTTTTCTTTTAATACATTGATAAAAAAATACAGAGAAAAATATTTATAGTGGGGCATGGGACATTCGGTATTCTGTATTCGTTCAACTGACTAGATTAAAAACTCAGATAAGATTGTTTTTTTTTGGTATTTTTGTGCTAGTATTTATCATTGTTTAAAAGGTTTTATATTTAAAAAAAGGATTTTTAATATCTTAGGTCAAATCTTCAAATACAAGGGATTACACTTAAACAGTCTTATAGTTATTAAACAGACTATTAATTTTGGACTTTTGAATTAGGAATAAAAAGTTAAGGAGATATTCATTACTTATCAACAGGTAGATAATCAACCATACACGTCCCTTCCCATTCATATGTCTATAGTTTTTTATGCGAATGGTACACATTTAAATAAAACACACATAATAAAACACTTTAACGGTTTAAAACGGGATATATTAGTTAAACTTATTTGAAAATGATTTTTAACTTCGGCCCGACGTTTCGGATGCTTAGCAGCAGCCGTGGTCACGGGGAGGCTAAAAATCATTTTCAAATAAATTAAACTAATATATCGCGTTTTAAACCGTTAAAGTGTTTTATTTAAAAAAGAAGCTACTTTTTTAATAATAGAGTAAGACAGACAGATAAGTATGATGTTGACTTGATGGTAAGTGAAACACCAGAGCAGACTCAAAAAGATGCGTTGTCGTCCTTATTTGTCTTTGGATATTCGGAAATACTTACCCGAAATCAAAAGATCCATCCGTATTGACATTATTAAAATCGCCATCGCTCGCTCTAGTCTTGCTAGGTATAATTTGAGTCCTAACTGCCACACACACGCACAAAACACTCACACAAAATGTCCAGAAATTTTCCATATTGTTCTCTATGTACACTATCAACACATAATCACTTAAGCTTCGTGGTTCGCTGTGAACTATGGCTTTGGAAAACCAAATTCGCTTTATATAGATGCACCTAATGTACGAAGTTATACTGCGTGAAAATGACCGGACATCATTGTTATTAATGTAAGGACAATGATCCACTGAAAGATAGCGATTTGAAGCTAGCGGTCACGTTAGTCTCAACGGATCTAGTTAGAGTTTAGACAATTGTCCATTAGTATAAAACAACTGAATAGAAGAGGACGGACAAGCAAGGGGTTCCCATGATCGTAAAATAGTCCAGCTTTATAGCAACTTAACAAAATTCACTGCCCTTATCTTTTATTCGGATAGCCACGGACTGAAACAAAATTTTGATTTAACACGCCTTTAAATCTGTAGACCGTAGTATGTGTCTCGGACGAAGCTTTCGATATTACTAACATCCATTCTTCAGATTTTCAGACGAAGTCCATGTTCCAGAAAAATTATAAATTGATGAGAAATAATTTGTCCCCGGTGGAGCTCAAACCCACTATCCGTTAGCTATGTATTGCTACCATTAAAAGAATGACCTCGTATGCTAGGACATATGTTAGAGGCAGGTATTTAATAATAATATTTTATCTTTCGTTTAGAACGTTTTCTGAAGTTTTAAGCAATAATAGTCGCTGATATCTTAGCTAGCGATATGCACAGTCCTTAAAGCTAAGATGTAGCCGAGTTAGATGCGAGGGCCACTACATCCTCAATTCCGTGATCACCAGGAACAAGAGGTTTTGTTCTCTTTATAATGCACGAAAGTTTCTAATTGCCTAATTGCCGTTCACGGTTATCAATATGAGAATCTTTTAGGCGAATTTTCGGATTAGAATTGAGTTGTGTTTGCAAAAGGATCTATACAATTAAAAAATTCGTTATTTACGTTACGTTACCCAGGATCTCTGAATTTCAAGTCCTTGTCAGTAGTCCTGACGTGGACCACTGATTGAACACAATTATTTTATATACTATGTGTTAAATTCTTGAAGTGTACAATTATATTAAGTTAACGTACATTAAAAAAGTTCTTGACTTGATCACGACTGTTTGACCCCCTCCTGGCGCCAAAGCTGAATCCGCCCTTGGTAAAGTTGCAAGATTTCTATTTTGTATATAGCTCAATAGAAGCTGCATAAAGTGCATATCTTTCGTCCTATATGCTATTTACAGAACTACACAAATACTACCCTTTATTTAATAATTATAATACCCTTATAAATAACGGGCCGTGAGTTCGATAAAAGTATTTAAATAAAACACTTTACGGTTTAAAACGAGATAGAGCAGAGCAGACCACGGCTGCTGCAAAGCATCCGAAACGTTGGGCCGAAGTTAAAAATTATTTCCAACTAAGTTTAACTAATATATCGCGTTTTAAACCGTTAAAGTGTGTTGTATAAAATTCTTGTTCCTCTTCACTAAAGGTATGTGGTAGAAAACAAGAAACGCAAATGTTGGAATCTAAAAGTCAGTTCATATCGTCCTACAACACACAGTAATCACAAAAACAAAGGAATGTATAGATTCCGCGATTGCAATATAATAAGTTGCCCAACGAATTTCCTTCGGTAATTAAACCCATCATCACACCATACAAAAACCATACAGCTTGTACGGTCCAAGCAACCGTGAAGATGCGAGATGCCCTTCGTGGTTCCATTGTCGATTTGACCTCCGGCCCTGGTTGACTTAACTTATGATACGTATGACCTCCTTAATGCTGGAAAATGGAAACGCATTTTGTAATTGGCCACGGAATCAATACGTTATACTAGCTAGCCTGGCGCACGCTCTTTTGCCATATTTCACCCAAATTTGTTGACTATTAAGACGGTTCATATACAGTCACGGACATATTTTTTAGATTATTTAAATAAAATCGTTTGATTAATCTTTTATACATATTTTTTGAGTACCTTGAACCGCTTTCACAGCCCTTAAAGATAAACTATTAATAAATTGTATAAGGCTTTCACGGCCATCGTTCAGGATATCATCGAGAAGAGGTTCTCGACGTTTCGCCATCACGCGTGGACGGCATCATCAGGAGATGTGAACTCCTCGATTGCTCGAAGAATTAATTTTCGCTCACATCGGCCGAACAGCCCGAAAGACAATGATATATAGATAAACTATTATTCTCGTTTTTTTACACAATTCCCTCTGTGTCTTAGCTCATAAGCCTTCCTGGATAAATCTAACACCAAAATATTATTTCAATTAAGCAATTAATAAGATTTAGTTGAAACGAATAAAAAACCTCTCTAGCTTATTTTGTTTCTAACAGCGTACATTTATTTCAATGCCTTATTAAATTTGAAATATCCATAAAAATATCAACACTCCTATCTTATTATAAACGCAGGATACGAAAATTACAGAATAAATTTGGATTTCTGATACTTCTAATACGATTCAGAAGTTACTTAAAAAACAGTATTATTTGAACACTATAAACTAACTCCAAGGTTCTCTCATATGAATACATACGGAAGCAAAGAACAAAAGCCACGTGAAATATCTGACTAAGCAAAAAAACAGCAGTAAGGCAAATCTGCCTGAAATCTAAGAGTTACCGATAGATAAAAATATGCACCTTTTTTAAAAATGAAGGACAAACAAATTATCACTATCTGGGGACGGTGGTTCGTAATCCGGACCGAATTACGATATACCGTCCACAAAATTACTATCCAGATTTCCAGATGAAGTTCAACATGTTTCAAAACAATTTTTTTAATTTGATAAACGTTTGACCTGGTGGGGATCAAACCCCCGACCCGTCGACTATTAGCCGCACATTACACCAATGAGTCGGTCAAGATCATCTATCAAATGTTTGTAAATTATTAAAAATGTACCTTTATAAATCCGCCGGACGGACACATCGCTCGTAGAACTGATGGCAGGTGGGGCAAAAAAGGTTCTGGATTGGATACCACGTATCGGACGTTGAAAACCTGAACGATCTTCTTCAAGGTGAACCGACGACCAGGTGAAGATGACGGGAAAACGCTAGATTCAGACGGCCTACGACCGGTCGTACTGGAAGCGAGGCCTATGCCCAGCTGTGGACACCGAACTGCTAAAACTAACATTATTTAACGCGTAGAGCACTTCACGTTTTTAAACGGTCAAAGTGTTGTTGAAACATTTTTTTTTGCTATAAAAATTAAAGATACACTTTGTTTCAAACTCGTAAAGATGGACTGCTAGGCACTTCCAGGTCTTCTCATGCGTAGTAGAAGGTTTTTCCCTCTTCGCTCCACTATACCTCTTAAATTAGTTATTACAATCAATCGCTTTACATGCTCGGAAAGACATGGGCTACACTCCATCCACACCACACCGTCTTACACTTTACACTTTGTTTAGAAATTAATTCCAGGACTAGAACACGGAACCTCGTGATTAGAGTGATCTAAACACTACGTTGGTCTTGTGCATATTATGGCTCGAGATTTCACCTTTCATCAAGTAAACCTCACGCTTGTTTGTTCTCTTCCATCATTAGAAAAGCTTTTAACGGTTTCAAACGCGTAATAAATTGCTTCATTTATTTTTAAACTATTCTAACTAAGACACAACGTTTTAGCAACTTGGCAGCATCCGTAGTCATGCGGGTTATACATACAAACGAAATATATTATATATTTTATGTTTAAAACTCGCGTTAAAAATTGACAATTCTTCGACCTGTTTGTTTAATTTTTCCATGATGATGCAAACTTTAAATCCTTGATTTTCGCGTACACATAACATAATTACGTCACACCGTTGACGTAATTTAGGAAACAGAATAATCTAACTAGATAAGTAGGAAATCAAGATAAACAACACGAACAATACGGAATCCGAAATGCAAACGAACTACACAATGTTCAATTGAAATTAAAATTATGTGAATTTGATGAAAAAAAAAACAACACCCAAGTATCGCGTATTGCGTCTCGTTAGCAAAATGTAATTAATAAAGACATCTTATCTCATAACACAATTGAATTCAGTAAATATATACAGAATGGGTGAGGTCGTGGGACGCACAATAATTGCAAGATTGTGATCATCAATTTCGTTTACGCTTTGTGTTTTGTAGTTTATGAGGAGGAAACGATACTTTTCTATACACCACCACCACCAGTTATATCAGCGATATTTTATTACTATTGAATTGAACTTGTAATAATTTTAGATAAAATGTCTTGTATTTAAATAAACATATATATATGAAGTAAAATCTGAGTCTCAAGAGTAATTTGCGTGAACAGTACACGTTTAAATGAAACATTTTTAACGGCTTAAAACGTGTAGTACTGTAATGGTTGTATGTGGACGGTTCTATATTTTCTGGTATTTTCGTCAGGTCAGGGCGTTCGCTAAATTAATATGATCTAATGATTTTCTTAAGCTGCAAAGCATAAGACATCTTAAGATGACATTACATTACACGAAAGATGCCCATATCTATAGGTTGAAAAATTTTAACGATGACGTGAAGGACACTGTAGCTTAATTGGTAACACCAACAGCACGGAACGCTGATTTCAGTTCCAGTCCTGCCGGTGTTGTAAAATTTTTTCAATCTAAAATCGGTTTTTATTTTTTTATAATTTTAGTTCTATATATAGACAGGTTGAAATTTCCTAATTTTATGTCAGTATAGAACCAGATTATATAAATAATAGTGGCCTTCAGTTCTTGTGGGGCCGACAAACGTCTGAAAAATACTAAAACTGGCAATCCATCCACTGAAAAGTAAATGATACTGTGTTTAGTACAGATACAAATGTTTGACGCCTGGCAATATTGTGGAGCAAAACGTTATAAATGAACGTTTGATAAACAATTTTATCTAGGAATATTGATATTCCATCAGGGCTATGGACCACTTTCCAAATTAATACGCTGTTAAGATTAGTTACATTTTCGCTTCACTATGTGGATTTATGAATGTTTAAGGCCAAATAGGATAACAGCACATTTTATTTGAATGTTATTTGGCTGAATGAACCAAGTTTGTTGGTCCTGTTCTATCATAAGAGAAAAGAGGTTTTATTAGAAGTATAAAGCGTTTAATTTATTACTTCTGGCAAAATGAAGAACATTTTAATCTTGTTCTTAAGTAAAAACAAGATCATAATACTGGAAGGAAGGGATGGAATTTATTTTAAAAGTTTGTTTTAGGACCTAGAACAATGTAAATGAAATAAAACATATTGCTACTTATATTTATTTATTATTTACAATTATATTATAAACATTAATTCTATCAGTTCGTTATAAAGTTTAAGATATAGGAAATAGTTAGTAACATTAACCCTTGAAAGAGGAAAGCATTGAATACTTAAGGCTAGAGTTATTGAGCATCACACATTTTAGTAGGTTTTATCACGTTATCTATACTAACTATGTTTTTATATTGCATAAAATAATAAATATTTTTTGTATATCTGCGCTGGTAACTCTCTTTTTGATAACTGTACAAGTCTCTTATACACTAGTACACAAAAAACAGTTTAACAGTTTAAAACACGACATTAATTACTTATTTGAAAATTATTTTAACAACAGCAGACGCACTAGCAGCAGCCATATTGACTACTGCAAAGCATCCGAAACGTCAGGCGGTAGTTAAAATAATTTTCAAATAAGTTTAATATCGCCTTTTAAACGGTTAAAGTGTGGTTTTTAAGTATACTACTGTGTAAGAAATGTGTCCTACTCTCGTAAACTACAGACGTTCTTTCAGTAGCATAATAATTAGAAGTGTAATATTTATTTTTTTGTATATTTCTTTGAGTATTTCGTGAAAGCAAAAATGTATGCCGTACATCGTTCAAACAGGTACTGAATATCTAGTAGAATCTAAATATTATTTTATATATTACATTGTAACGATAGACAAATTTTACACATTTTGATCTTACGTGTGTATTGCGTTTGAACAGTACTTCTATGAGATTTTGAAATATATTATTTTTTCTATTTTTTCAGATATTTATAGTCCAGAATTGCCGCAATATTCCCCGATCCTGTCTGATATGCACTCGAAGATATCAAACGACACGTCACAGTTGCGGCCGTTGTCTGAAAGAAAATTTATAATATTACTGTCTCTATAAATAGAATGTTTTATAATGAGAACGCACATTGAATAAGTGTTTTTGACAGTTGAAAAAAATGTCTACACATCATACGACTGACGTATAGTCGTAATTCTTAAGATCGTAAATCATTTTATTTTACTATAATTACGATACATATGAAGAGCAGAATATAGGTTTGTAATATTAATAAAAGTATAAAATTTAGGCGCAGGCGCCCAGCCGCTTAAGACGATTTCTCAGGGACCAAAGGCGCGTCTTAAGCGGAAACGCGTATTAAGCGTGATCGCAATAAACAGTTTCTACTGTAGGTAATAACTGAAACTAGAGACTAGTTTCACTTGAACTATTTTGATATCGTAGATATAATGTTTTTTAAGGGAAATAAAAACCAGACTGGCGCGTCCGTCCTATCCTTTGATAAGAAGTACCATATAATTTAAAAATCGAAAATAAATTGAAAAAAAATTCGACTCGGGCAAGACTTGAACCGGCATCGCCAGCGTTCCGTGCTGTTGCTTTACCAATTGAGCTACCGAGTCAAAGTGGTAGACCAACAGCACGGAACGCTGACGATGCCGGTTCAAGTCCTGCCCGAGTCGAAAATTTTTCAATTTTTTTTCGATTTTTAAATTATATAGTGCCTTCAGGTGCACATGTAAAAAATAAGAAAGTTTTCAAAGAAGTAACATTTTAAAAACCTTTATCAAATTGAATTATTTACCCATAGGCACAGTTCTGGAGAATTTGTCGTGGTTCCGCATCAGACATTCGCGTGACGCCTCCAGCACGGTCATGAAGTAGCCTCGCTCGTTCACTCCGTCGGAGTAAAGCCCAACCAGACCTTCAAGTGTTGGGAAACCAAAACCGTCAACCTGAAATACAGATGACGTTTAAAGTAACGTAATTATTTCTTAGTGTATTTAATTGTATGTTAGTATATTGTTCTTTTGCGTTTTGGCTAGACTTAATAATACGTAAGCTCTGGCGAATTAATGGGAGTTAATATTTCTGGGCAGCAGGTTTTTCTGCAAAATCAAACTATTTCAAAGTAATAAAGATATATTTTTAGAAATACCTAAATGATTTTCTTTTAAAATACGATAATGATGAATGATCTCCTTATGAATACTATATATAAAAGCGAATATAACATATTTAACAGAATAATTAAGTGACGGTTGACTTATCAAAATAAAATATTTTAAGGTTTCTAAACGCGAAACTACGCTTAGGCCCGACGTTTTGCTTGCTGCAATAAATGAAAAATAGATTGAATTATATTTTGTTTTGTTTAAATATGTATTACTTGCATAAACTACAGAAAATACTTAAGTGACTATGATATAAAAATTGCGGACGAAAGCTATGCACAATTTAGTTATTTAATATGTTTATTACGGTTTTATTTAGCATAATTATAAGAGATTCTGAACCCTTATAATTCACTTTTACGACACCGCATCATAAATATAAATTTGACCAAATTGCCCTCCAGATTAACGACTCGAGCGAAAAAAAAGTGGGTCAAATATAAAACCAGTAAGGAGAGCATTGAGGGCGCTGCGCTCGTTGAAGTCTATTGTATGGGCAAACTTTTATGGTGCAATTTAAGCATTCATAGATCGATATTTTATTTCTGACTTAGACTCGATATACGAGTAGCTTGATCTAAACATAACACAATAAATAATAATAATAATATAAAAATAAATAGAAATAATAATAAAATACATAGAAATTCTATCAATTGGTTATTTTAGAAAGAGATATAAATAGAAAGTAAATTTTTGATCGCTATAATAAATACATTAAAAAACGAGATTCTCACTGATTTACTATTATAATTTATGCATTACAATAAATTTAATGAGTATCTTACGTACTTAAATTAACAAGCTGTAATTTCTAAATTAGCTACTTTTTATTGTGCACGTGTTTAACATATTTTGACAAACGTTGCAAAGATTATCTATCTTCTAAAAAGCACTTCTTAAAAATGCTAAGTGGTTTAAGATCTAAATGATACATTTCGCGTTTGAAACTGTCATATAGCTGTTAAAAGAGTTTTATTTAAATGTAGCATTTAAGAAATAATCTAACAGCTGTTTAGCTGCACTCCGAAGCTTTATGCCATCTGTTTATTTATATAAAAATACTCTGCACTTATATTTTAACTCGTAATTTACGACTGCAATATCTGGTCTACATTCGAGCAATTTTTATGCTTACGTTTTATTACTAGTGCTGCATAAAGACAAATTGGAACGATCAGTCACAGAAGAAGGTTGGATGATGGTGATATTAAAACTGTTTTAAGCCTCGTTTTGTTTAGGGTACAGTTTTTTATAGAGATGGACAAACAAGCATTCAGTTCAGTTTATTGTAGGTGAAATACCCTCTTCATGTTACATCTGAACAAGACGCACTGTGGACCTATTTTGGATATTTGGATTTAACTAATTAAAGCTTCTTCTTGATGTAAAAATGTTCATCTTTATATTTTATTTTGAACTTATTTATTTTTATTATCTACCAACATAATTACAAATACTTTAAAAGTAACTTTCCAATTTACTCAGCACTTTCGTTTTCGACGATATAATCTCATGTACCTTAATTTAATGAAAACAATTAAATCTTCAAATCTGCCCATAATTAACTTCATAATAATATTTTTGTAGACAATTCTCGTGAACACATAAGACAAAGTGAAAACGTCTCAATTCTCACTAAAGATTAGACATGGTGTTATCGCATTGATCTGATGTAAAGCTACGGTTTCCTATGATCGTAGGCATTGTATATACCGCGTTACGTATTGATCAAGATTATTTCTATTGGTCTTAGTTAATGTATCTCATGCGCAAAATAAGACGTTTCGTCGCAACAGTACTTGTAAATTATTAACAAAAAAATGGAAACAACAAACATCTAAAAATAAACGCGGGTAGTAATTTTAAAATCACATAACAAAAAACCAAAACTTTTTATGTCATCTTTTGTCCCAATGTGGTTTAGGATATTCGGAAATCGACTAAAACTGAAACGCAATTACAGTTGTCCATTATAAATATATATAAATTGATTAGAAAAATGATGGACCTGGTGGGGATCGGACCCACGACCCGTGAATTATTGTTAGCCATACATTGCTACCAACAACTAACAAGTTCGCCCTGTCGATCGTCCTCTTTGTATCGATCGATCGGCTTTGATCTGCAGCATTTATATGAGACAACAGCTTAATGCAATGAAAGTATGGTGAATAAAATAAAAATACTCGATACTTACTGCTTTCACTTTCCGGTAGACGCACTGCAGTAGACACTGGAATTAGATAAACAACTTGTTTACGCATCTTGATGTAATATAAGACAGAAGTATCTATGGTATAATATACATCTAGTGAGAGAAATCACAGTAGGGTTACTTAGAATATATATTTTAATGCGAATTTATTTTCAACATTATTATATTATATATGTAATATTTTATTAATTGGTTAAATCAAATTAATCATAGAAAAAAAAACATATTGTTTTGTGCAATTCAATGAAAAGAATCCTGAACCCTGGCTAAAATAATCTACTTATTTACAACATACGACGCAACACTAATATATAATGGAATGTTTTATATAGCTGAGATTCAAATGCACCTTTCATGCTACACCCAATGCTAACTGCGTTCGGGGTTAAGTTACCTAAACTTTCCCCTTAATTTTCCGAACTTAGGTATAAATTGTAGACAACATACCCCAGCTATCCTCTTTTCGTCGTGTGTGAAGGGAACTTCTCTTTTGTTCCTTCGTCTTTCACCGGGCATCGTATGTTCTTCTTTAATGACATCAAGCGCTTCTGTAAAGCAACAATGTGTTATTTAGTAGTAGGTTCTTCTTCCCAAATATAAATATAAATTAGGTAATGTTAAAAACATGTGTAACAATTATTGTATACAATAGACAAGTAATACTTATTAAAATAAAACAGTTTAAAACGGGAAATATATAAGTAAAACTTATTTACAAATTATTTTAACCACGATTCTACGAGGATGCCAGTTTTGCCAAATACCAACTACGTCGAAACAGATGGCGCTAGCGTAGCATTTTTTACTTTAACATTAAGGATCTACATCATCCTCAGTTCCTCTCTGACCACGGCTACTGTTAAGCATTCTTAAAGTAGAGAATTAAGTGAAACTAAAGTATTTCGCGTTTTAAACAGTTAAAATATTTTTTTTAAAATGTTTACTATTCGCGTAACCTACAGACAGTATTTAAGCAAGACTTCATTCATAGAAATATAAAACAATATGTTTTTGTAACACTAACACTAATATAAGATTCATTCAGAATCATATCGAACCGCAGAAACATTTATGAACCCGACAATATAATGCAAGCTGCACAAGAAATTTTTTCTCAAACATTCACATGCGATTGGGAAAGACATTTTCTTTTAAGCAACACTACCTATTGACCTAGGTGCAAGTTGCACAAAACTTGCTTCAGAACACCGTATAAGTGCCAGGCGAACCTTTTATTACCTGTTATGGGACATGCGATTGAATGGCTTGCGAAAGTGATTTTATAATTGCGGAAACAAAGACATGTAAAGAAATTGTATGTCGCTTTTGTTATACGTAGTTTTCGAAAAACTTGCATGTCTGTATGTATAGATACAACAAATAAAACTTCAATATACTGCCTCGCATTGATTTATGTTAAAAAAAATATTATTAAAAATTACAAAAATTAGATATATCGTAGGTAGCAAGGGAGGATTAAAAAACAATATTATAAATTGTGTGTCAGTCTGTACTGAGTTTTTAACTTAAACTAGCTGTGTGTGTAGAATAGTTATTTTCGACATCCAATTTTGTTTTTGCAAACCTCTCCTTTATTCGGTATAAATTTAAGCTGTTACCCACGACATCGCTCGCGACCCGTCGTTCTTGCAAGGTAATCTTAAAATATAGACATATAGCGTCGTGGACTTTTACAGATCATTTAAAGTGGAATCATTTTCCTACGTATCATGAATATATTTTTCCCTTTTTAACATGTCGCGCTATTTCTTCGCTCCTATTAGCCACAGCACATGTATTTTCTTTGATTTATTTAAGAAAGAAACATAATAGAAACACCAATCGAATACACTTTTATAGTAAGAATAAAGTATATATAATGTAAAGTATATAAAATAATAAATGATAAGAATTAAGATAAAAATAAGTTTAGTTAGACATTTACAAACATTAATTTCATTATAAAATATCCGATAAGAGTCCGATCCGATAAGAACATTCGAGTATTAAAAAGGGTAACTTTATAATTGAGTGTCGTATTTGTTTTAAGAAATAAAGTAGTTTTTTTTTAATAGTGTCATCGAATAGACATTAAGTATAAAGTCATAACTTTTGTATAGTAATAAGTTTTGTAGCCTATATGATATATGAAACTCCAAAACTGTACTTCGGCTATTTAATACCGTTAACAAGGGCGTTAATTCTCCTGCAATCACGAACTTTAAGATACTTAGTAAGAGGATATTACGCGAAATAATTAGCGTTGTGATTCGAAACTCAAATTCTTTTCGCGAAAATTTACAACTTTAATTAAATTTACAAAAAGTTTACAACGCACGAGTCAGTTAAAAGTGCTTTAAATACTTTGGGTATAAGTGTCAGTAGAATGTGATAAATATTTTCGGTCGGACAGGGCTTTTTATAATGTAAGGAGAGACAGAAACACAGGGTTTACTTGATGGATTGTATCACAAAGAGACAGTTAAAATAAAAATAGTTAAAATTAATTTTCAAATGAATTTAACTAATATATTATATTATTTAAATATTACTATTGATATTGAGTTTTTAATTAATTAATACACTTTACGTTTCTTGTAATCGCTTTTGGCACGAGACTGTTAATTCGTCACGAATTTCGGCAGAATTTTAATATAATCGTGACCACATTAACTCATTACATTGAAGACTTTTTGATACATACCTAAAAAACAAATCGAACATCATAGATACACATCTGAAATGACTGAATATTTCCGCTTAGATCATCCTTTTTTTATTAATAAGGTCAAATATGCTTTGTACTTTGAGTGCAGATGTGTTTAATATATTTTTTGTTTCACTAATTCTAGATACCGCTTTGATCTCCAGGACTTGGAATCGGGATGAGACAACAAAATATTATAACATTTTTACGAACAATATACGCATCGTACATTTGAAATTGCGTTTTCGTTGTCTAAATATATCCATCGTTGTGTTTTACCTTTTTCGTTGTTAATCGGATCCATCCTTGATACACGTAGTTCAGATAAATATCATACTTTTCAAAGCAAACTAGTAGATCAGACAAAGATAAGATATCGTTAGCTCTGAAAAGTATTGCTCCATGATTTACGTAAAAAAGATTTTTACAATTACTAACAATAAAATTAAACGTAAACATAATTTATTTTTTGGTAAATACTTTTGTTTAATTTAAACTTTCCCGGATTATTTAAAATAAACAATTATTAATTAAAACATTTACGTTTTTTCACTACACGGCACTCAACAATTGTATTGGTACTTTGTAAACAAAACAGTGCTTCTATATATCTTTAAATCTCAGAAACAAATGCACAAAACACCACTAAAATATTGTTACTTACTTAAAAAACATACTAACTTTATTTATTTATTTATATTTTAACTTTTTTTATTTCACAATTTGTCTTGAGGTAATTTATAAAAGTACCATATTTATTATTCTATCAATGCGCCTGTTAATTGTAAATACAAGAGTCTTCGAGGCTTTATGTGTGACTGCATTTATTGCTTTAATTACGGCGATGTTTTGTTATTGAAGATTGTCATTTTATATGTATTATACTTTTGAAATCAAAATAAGTCTTAATTATCATCAATCAATATTATTTTACGCATTTTGACATTATCTATTTCCTATAAATTTATTCTTGACTCATTAATCTCATAGAAAATTATATGTTTATGAAATAATATAATATATACCGTGAGGTATATTTTCTTCGTGGTTGATATATATATATTTGTATTCTCTTCTCTTTAAAAGTCTGCTGTATAAGACCACATTTACTTTGCAGTACATTAATTAAACTTCAGTATCTTAGATATTACACAAATAATTAGTATTTATCTTAGATATTCATTGTATATTAATAAAACCAGGAAAACAATATCTATGAAAATATTGGCGTTTGCACATATTACATTATATAAAAGCAAGTTCGAAGTACCAAGTGCGAGGCAGAAATCCTTTCCAATCAAAGCCCAAGGTTATAAAACATACATTGACAGACCGGCTGATCTCGATACTAAATAATTTAATATAAAAGTAGAACATTTTTTTATTCCACTAAGATGAAAACTTGCACACGAAGACTCCATCGAAATAAGCTAAATATGTGATTTTTAACTGTTTTTATTACAAATCTAAAGAGCATATATACTTTACGCGAATAGTACAAATAAAATACATTTAACAGTTTAAAAGACAAAATATAATAGTTTATTTTAACAACGGCCCTACGTTTCGGATGCTTAGCGGCAGCCGTGACCACGGGGGTCACTAATTCCACTGAAATATATATTGTATTAATGTAACAGTAAATAGGTAACATGTTAGTGTCCTGTTTAAAAACTCTATCATGTTTCGCTGGGATTCAAACCCTGGACGTCTGCATGCAATGATGAAGATCTGATCTTAAGATAAAAACTACAACAATCTTTTTAATAATATATACATTACAAAATGTTTATGTGGAGCCATATTTATATGTTTGTATTGTTTTAGTTAGTTAATCATACTTCCGGCTGTGGTATAGTGTGTGTGGCCCTTTTTTTTATTCCCCGGATTCGAATGCAGGACCTCTTACTTTTAACGAGATGCTAAGCGAAACGTTTAACCATTAAGCAAAGGAAACGGTGGGGATGCCTTACGTAAAATAAACTGGAGCATAACATGTTATTTCACATTTGCATAATATATTTTTATGTCCGTTTAAAGTTCAAGGAAATTTCGGTCGCAATTTTGGAATATCAGTATAGTGGCTTTAACATTTGACATTGAATCAGCTGGATATACAATTTCGAGCCTGTGTACCTAAGATCAAATCTTACGTAGAAAAGTATTGTTAATCTGTTTTTTTGAAAACGTAGAAACAAACGAACGTAGCCTTTATGTTAGGTACTCTTTAACGGTTTAAAACGCGGAATATATTACAAATTATTTTCAACTACAGCACGACTTTGTTATTTAAATGTGTAGTACTAGCTTATACCACAGACAGTATTTAGATAAAACTTTATTTAAAAACAAACAATGTTTTCTTTTTTTAACTAAATACATATTAGGCATGAAATATACGATATTATATACTTTGACTCAATTACTAATGTTTTAATGTTAGTATCAGCAAATGTGTTTATTTTTCGTAATTGAAAAGCCGGAACTGTCAAATCCATTGAAATAACGACGTCAGTCTAAATTTGTAACGTATTGTAATACCGTATATTTAGTTTCGGTTATATTGTTTTATTCTATTGTTTTGTAAAATAAACCAGCTAACAAAATTCATTTACATGTAGCATTGTATGTTCTAGCTTCTAAGTACAAAACTGTACATGTTCAAATAGTAAAATAATTAACCAAATATATATTTTTAATAAACAGCTAATGTTTGAAACCTTTAATATGTTTTACATGATGGCACTTTATAATTTAAAAATCGAAAATAAATTGAAAAACCTTTCGACTCTGGCAGGACTTGAACCAGAGCAATGGAACGCTGAAGATACCGGTTCAAGTCCTGCCCGAGTCAAAAGTTTTTTCAATATTTTTTTTATTAAACTTAGTCAATACATCTTTTTAAGGAAGCTGTACATCAAACTGAATTTGGCATCTTAAAGTAAAAAAACGATTTGAAAGTAACAATAAACAAATTTATTAGATTATTTATAACAATGTAACGGTTCAAAACGCGATATATACTAGCTAAACTTATTGACGTACGGCCCGACGTTTCGAATGCTTCGCACACGCCGTGGTCACGGGGAGATTTAAAAATAATTTTCAAATAAGTGTAAACTAATATATTGCGTTTTAAACTGTTCAAGTGTTTTATCGTAATGTGTCTACTTGCGTAAACTACATACAGTATTTAATTTTGTTAGCCTTTTATATAAGTTGTTAAAACCTACCTCTCAATATCGAAAGTTTGATCTCATCCTGACAAAGACTGATAACTCTTTCGATCTTCTGCGGTGCTGTGGGCGGGTTTCGACATCTGGACTCCTGAAATTCAATGAATTAACTTAAGCATTAAATGGTCATGGAAAAATACTGGATCTCTTAACAAACAGTACAAATTAAAAAGACAAATACGAGTTTTCCCGTAGTAATAATTATTTTCGAATAAGTTCTACTAATATATTTCGCGTTTCAAACCTTTAAAATATTTTAATTAAATGTTTACTACTCGTGTAAACTATAAAGAGTATTTAAATAAGAGTTAATCAAAGTTTATTGGTTTGGGAAAGCATTTGTGTTATTTTATTTATTACTGAAGGAGCACTATTCGTATTGAAGGATAGATGTTACAAATGACTCCAAAAATATTGGGTCCACAAGGGGCTACCTTTTTGGAGTCATCATGACTAGAGCTATTGATGATCATAATGATTTATTAAAAAAATGATTCGTAAATAAATAAACAGACTTTAAACGTTTTTTAACTGAATTCTATACTAATATAAAAACCAAGAGTTTGTTTGTTTGTTTGAACGCGCTAATCTCAGGAACTTCTGCTAGAAATCGGATATTTATTACTGTGTTGGTTCGAATATGTATCGAGAAAGGTTATAAGCTATGAAACATCGCGCTGTAATAGGAGCGAAGAAACAGCGAGAAATATGTAAAAAATGGGGAAAATTGTTTATCTTTGTGTGTTTCCGTTGCGTTGCGCACGCTGCGCAAACGGTTGAAGATACGCAAAAAATATGTATAAAGGAATTATTGCTCTTAAAATGTTGTAAGATGAAGAAGAGACGTCGAGGTTATCAGCTGAAATTTATACAGTTGAACAGCAAGTTGTCAAAAACGAATTTGGATGTCCAAAATAGCTGCTATTTTACGCGGACGTAGTCGCTGACACAGCTAGTGTACTATATTAATTACATTTTTTTATAGACAGATAAACCATATTCTCATACATTTTTTGACTTCTAATGATAATGATAACATTAAATGGTCATGGGCGAGTCACAACAATAAGAGACGTGTTGATAATGACCCAAAATCTAATCGTACCTTAATTACTCTATTCATGAATGAAGCAAGTGGTGTTCCGAGACTAGTGTTGTGTACAAAAATGTTATATACGTTGTAATTTTAATTAATTAAGGATTTAAAATATTAAAAATTAATGTTATTTTTTAACGGTTTAAAACGTGAAATATATTACAGCCCTTGTGGACACAAGCCTCCTAGAGTCGTGTGTACCATCTTGATCTATCCTGTGCTTCTTATGGGCTTTATATAGTCCTTCTTCTGCAATAAATAAAGTAATACAAATACTTGCCAAAACCAGTAAAGTGTGTAGTTTACGCGAGTAGTACACATTTAAATAAAACACTTTAACGGTTTAAAACGCGAAATATTATTAGTTGAACTTAACTTACTAACTTTAACTAGTTAAAAAGCAGCATTGCAACGAATTATAAAAAAATTGTGTTTGCCTATTTGAAAATTTAAAATATCAAAATTTTAATGAGAATTAAATTTGATTTAAGTATTAAAATTAAACTATATCTCATAAACCTCTCGAATTGGTGAAACTTAAAATGATTCTGCGGAATTTGTAGATCTTTACTAGACAAGTACTTGACCTGCATTTTGGTATATTGCCAATCCATAGTGATATACAGTCAAGCAATTCGTTACGTAGCTATGTATTACCTATGTACCTACGTAAATGATCTTTATGCTACTTTTATCTTCTTTAGACTATAAATAAAAATTACATTAAAAAGACAGACACACAATATAATAACAAAATGCGCTGACGACCTATTTTGGCTTCGGATATTCGGAAATCCGTAAACTGACAACCGAAACTCGATTAAACTACGCGGCTTTTTCATTTGAGAACTGTGCATTTGGTTCGTGACCCGGACGGAACTTCGATATTTCTACAGTTTAATATTTAGACCAATTCCTGTGTCAGAAAATACATATTGCACTTGGTTGAACCCACGAGACGTTGATTGCTACCATTAGACCAATGAATCAGTTAAAACGTTATGACTTTAACCAACAATCTGTTTTGAAATTTATCTCGTAAAATAGACATAAGCACTAAAATGTCGAAAGTACACAACGGTGTAGGTTTCAAAACAGAAATGCCTTCACTTAACTAGCGTACTGTGTTACATAATTCGGACTCCATAACTTAAGGATTGCAACAAGTAGCCTTTTAGTCTGCTCGGACTTATTAAATAACCCTTGATTGTGTAACGGCAGTCGGCTTATTAATTGTATCGCATTCGAGTATTCGTCCTATTGACGACACATACTCGCACAGTAGCTATCTGTCATATTGTTTTAAATTTTACAGACTAAAATATCATTTATGACATACGTATAATTGTTACTAAACTGATTAGATTTAAGAATGGATGATCTAATATAATTATCTATACTAATATTATAAAGCTGAAGAGTTTGTTTGTTTGAGCGCCCTAATCTCAGAAACTATTGGTTCGAAATTAAAACAGTAGATTTTTTTAATTTTAAAGAGAATAAAGTATATTTATAGTAACAACTACTCGTTTCGGCTGCTGTACAGCAGTTGGTAGCATAAAATAATTATCGTATATATTTCATCTTTTACGGTTTAAAATGTGTTTTTTTTAAATTCACATACTTGGTCAAACGTTAATGAAATCAAATCATGCGCAGCCTCTTAGCATTGAGTCAGCCGCTGTGGGCGAATGGAGCAACCTTGCTGTTGTCATTCAGACTAAATAAGGCATTGTGTGGGTTTACTTTACCATTTTAACAATTTTTAACATAGATCCGTTAGACGGTCACAGTGCCTAGAGGCTATAGTTTCCTTATTTCTAAAATTTTAAAAAATATTAATATGATACTTAGTATGTCTGTAGTTTACGCTAGCAGTACACATTTAAATAAAATACTTTCTAACCGTTTAAAATGCGAACTCTATTACTTAACTACAATTTATTTTACCTACGATGTTTCGGGCTGACGATGTTTTGCTGGTCCAAATTATTTGAAACGTCGGGCCGTAGTTAAAATCGAACTGCTAATACGCGTTTTATTTAAATTTAATACTTAACTTAACACACCGACTTATGAAAAACTTTTACCTGAGTCAGTATCTCTGTATCACCCAAAATGTTATAAAATTCGGCGAATCCGTATAAGCGTGTAAGAGGAACAGACACGTAGCCTAAGTGCTTATAAGATTGCGTTGAAATAATTAACTCAATTGTTAAAACAGACACATAAATGTGTACCTTGTGTGTATCCCATGGCCCACGTAGGCGAATCTACCTTTAACACACATAAAAATACCCCACATAGGGATAACGGTATTGAATTTCAGTCATAATAGAAACACGGTGTGTGCGCACAGTATATTTCAAAACCAAAATTCAGTACAGTACAGTAAATGAATGCTCCAACAATTGCGTCAGAGATTGCAAACAATTTTGCATGCTCTTCCCCAACTGCGAAATGGTCTATTACAACTGTTAATTGATTAGGCTGGCAACTCGATTATCTAGTTATGTGGGTTACCACTAATGAGGCTTGAAACAACCATTGAGCAAATATTGTTACGTAACGCAGGAAGTCTTCGCTCAATTTCTTCAATATTCGCTGCGAGGAGAACCGTTATTACAGATTTCTTCAGGTATTTTTTACTTTTGTATAACTTTAAATATCTATACAATGAGTAATGCACTTTATTACTTGTGTAAGTCAAATTACACATTATTTTACATGTAGGTATAAAGATTTTAATAAAACACTTTAACGGTTGAAAATTATCTTATCTAAGGCCCGGCGTTTCGTTTTCTCGTCGCGACCACGCCTACTGTAAAGCGTCCGAAACGTCAGGCCGTAGTAAAAATAATTTTCAAATAAGTTTAATTAATACATATCGCGTTTTAAACTGTTGAAGTACTACTTAAATGCGTGCTACTACAGAGACAGTATTTTATGTATAAAGATAATAATAATGATACCCTAAACATTATTGAGGGTATCTTTTGTCCCGTACCCAAGAAATAAAGTTTGATATAGTAAAAGTTTGCACAAAATGAGTTTAAATCCAAATGTCTACAAATACATACACATACATATGCAGAACCAGAAATAAAAAATACTCATTCGTGTTGGACAGAAAGAGACGGTTGCACATGAATAGATTATAAACAGCGTATCGTAACTACAAAAGTAATATATGTTATTAAGCCATTTGCATAACCCAGTATGCATGCATATTAAACAGTACTGATTTCTATAAATCGATAGCAGATCAGGAGCATGCGTGCATCAACGACCCGTGAACATATAACTTTCTCCCTATGCGCTCGCGCACCATTACAATCGGGCCACGCACCAATTGTTTGGGACACCTGATGCGTAGTGTTATGCGATCTATATGGTTGTATGTTAAATACAATTATTGCAAAAGTAATTCATCTGTAATGCACATCTTTTGTATTGTGACTAATCGAGCGTAACTTGTGTGAGTTATTTATACCTAAATAGACTGTATTAAGTTTTTGAAATTGCACTTCAAGCAATAACTGTTGAACAACTTTCTTGATATTACTTAACTGGGACTTAGATATAAAGTAGAATAATCTACCATTAAAATTATAAATTCGTCAATTGATGAAAAAAACAAACAGTATCGAAATATGCTCTTTTCGAAGTAGAAGTTCATCTACTTGCTTATAAAAAAATGTAGTGAACGAATACGAAAATAAGCATGCCCCATGCCGTTTTAGTCCCTCTGAATATTTTGGTTTGCTATTAGGAATTATATGATCGTAATAATATCGATTATAAAAATGTGTTTTTTTCTGCTGATAGTATATAGACGTGTCTATTAGTCGACGTAGAAATAAATCTTGTGTCGTATGTGTCAAGTCGCACGCTTTCAAGGTCGGATTAGAAACTGGAGCAAAATATCGACATTCCTACTCTAGCCATGGAATATTTTTAGAAGACATGATTGACATTTTTTATTAAGTCTATTTTGCGATATAAAACATGCTTGTTTGTTATATATTCCCTATATCATTTGATTTCGCCTTTGATCCAACAGATGTTTTAATTTGAAAGGGTATATTTATCGCAATATAAAAAAAAATATTTACTCTGTCTATAGATAAACAATATAAATTACAAACGGATTATATGTTGAACTTGGTAATGTGATCGTATCGAGACTAATGTTGCAAGGTTAGCTTTGTGTAATAAAATAAAATGTAGTATAAAATATGTACAATATTTTAAGAGTTATAGAGAGAGATTACTTGTATAATTAAAAAAATATTGATTTCTAATTAAATGTGTTTTATTTCTTAGTGTAGGTATTTAAAAAAAAAAGGCAGTATTTTTGTTAGTTGCGAATAAATAAATAACTTTAACAGGCCTTACTGTTTCAGCAAATATGGCGCTCCCGCTTAAAATTGTGAAAAAACACAAACAACACATAAAACCACTGATTTGAGCCATTTTCACACACGATATAACCAGAGACAATTTAAATCCGTTCGATATTCAAAAGCACCGAAGGCGCGACGCTGCGCAGTTCTCAGTCGTGAATGCTGCGATTTTTGAATTTCGAAAGGCGCGTAGGAGGGTTTCCCGCCTATTTCATTGACTGCGTTCTGTTTATGCAGCGCAGCGTTCGCAATATTGTTAAATATATAATATATGGTGTATTTTTTATAATTTTACAAATAAAATGGTAAAGCATTGAAAAAACTAAACCTTCACACGGTCACATACCTGTTTTTAGTTTCTTAGCAACTAAATGCTTGGTTACGGATACAAAAAGTCAATTTTTATTTAGTTACAACCATTATACGTAAAAGAAGTTTGAATTGTTCTTATACAGTTATGTTGCATTTTATGCATAGCCAGTTCCAACCTGCACTTAAATAGCTACGAAACTAAGAATTCAATCTTATTTTAAACGGAGAGCAAAAATGCGTCCCTTGAACTTTGCTCCTTTGTGTAGATGTTCTAGATATAAATAGTTAACAGAAGGTATTTATCCACTCCTATTATATATTTATTTTCATATAAATCTAACTTTTAAACTCATATAACCTATAAATATTTTTATTATAATTATTACATCACCTACATTTTATATGATCGTAAAAAGAAGCATAATAATTTTTCTAAAGATTAATTACTATGCATAGTGTTATGATGTAAGGACGTTGTGCAAAAAATATGTTATTTTATAGATAGTATCGCAATAATAAGCGCTAACTAGGGCACTAACTCACGAAACCTAAGTAATATTTCCTTTTGCGAAACAACTTTGTGAAACACAAAGAACGTCCTGATAAACGATAAGATATGACAGAGTGGAGGAATCAACACCTTTGTCACCTTCTTTTGTTTTAAACAGTCTAGGCTGTTGTTTAGTTAAAATCGTTAAATGACATTTATAAAACTGGCGCCAAACAACAATAGCATTATTGTTTGTAAATAAAACACCGTAACCGTTAAAAACACGAAATATATTACTTCAATTTGATTCCAAATTATTTTTAACTACGGCCCGAGGTCAAAGTAACAGCCGCTATGCTAGTGCCATCTGTTACGTCGTAGTGGGTATTTGACGAAACTGGCCGACTGGTCCTCGCGTTTGCCGGTATGCTGTTTTTTGGAATACAACATTAGAGACACCCCCGTTGTCACAAGAAGAATATAGATTTACTCTCCCCGTGACAACGGCTTCCGCAAAGCGTCCGAAGCATCAGGCCGTAGTTAACAATAATATGTAAACTTTAACTAATATATTTAGCGTTTGAAACGGGTAAAGTGTTATATTTCAATGTGTACTACTCGAAAACTACAGACAGTATAATTATATTATTAATAAAACGAGAAATATGTTATATTTATAGTAATAAATAGTATTATAAATTAAATTGAATGTATTTAACTAAATACATTTTATTTATACCTGACAATTTATAGGTGCATTTTTGCTGCAGTATTTTTTTCTGGGAACGATAAAATATCATTGCTTTTCGAGTTGTTTAAAATAATTTTATTTAATATGTTACTACTTGTTTAAACTTTTATTGTGTTAAATAGTGGGAAAAAGCAGTTTAAGCAGTTTTTTTATTTAAACTAGGATATAAAAAGGGATACGTGTGTTTATTGTTCGCGAATTCTGCTTTGACGGTAAGAGGTCCTTTACCAGATGACCTGGTCTTGATATTTTCATCTAAGGCGAAGAGGATTTGCAGTAAGGTATTTCTTGATATACCTTCAAACTCTACTCCGTCTGGATAGCGTATTACATTATCTAAAAAACATGCAATGTTTTAATAAAATTATGTTTTTGTCAATTCATTATATTAAATATATTTATTATTAAAACTAGTACTTAGCACTAGCGAAATTTTTCATATATCAAATATAAATCTGTCGCTTAAATCTAAAAAAAAAACTAAACTTAACAAAATACCCTAAGTGAAAAATTGAAACCCATTTCACGATAGGCGAACACATTTATGTGTCCGTTTCAATAAACAATTCTATTTATAGGTTGTTTATAAGTCTTTGAAAAGGCGGCCTTATCGCTTTTCAGCGAATTCTTGCTACTTTTTGTTAATTTTTTAATTAAGTTTATTTTGGAACATTGTGGTGAAAATAAAGTATTTTTTGTTTGTTTGTTTAAGTCTTTTCTGCCCTGCCCGACAAAAACAATTTATTGTTTACCGGGGATTCGACCCTGGAACTATCGTGTGTTTATTATGTTTAGAATATTAATAATTCTCAAGTATTAGTTAATAAGAATCAATCAATTTAACTCTTGACTTTGTACTTACCCTGTTTTGAAATAATTTTCGAAATATTGGCAAATGTCGCTGATAATGAAAGTAAAAAATTCATTACAATGAGAAAGGCGAACGTTCGAACCATCGAGAGGCAAAACACTGAGAAATCAAAGATTGCTTTGTTTCAACGATTAACTTGATTTTATTGCTACAATTGCTTAAACATTGTGTGAAAACGAAATTAAAGAAGCCACTTTTTTCTTCTAAATCACGAAATAGTTACGTTGGCTTGTTGGGTGTTTAATATTGCATATATATTCTACTAATAACGAAATTAGTTATTGTTTGACAATTTCTAACTTTGCTAAAACAATACCATTTCACAAATAAATTCTTAGTTAACCTCTTAAAATAAAACAAAAAGTATTAAACAAATTTTTATCACATACAACGTAAATACAAAGCATTGAAAAAAGGTGAAATCACATTTTCCTTTTGAGTCACAGGAGAGACACACGTCCATTTTGACTGAGCGATTCTATTTACAGGAAAGTACCGTTATATTTACCCGAGACTAGAAATTGGAAAGATGAACCTAGATGTTTAAATATAACACTTTAACGGTTTAATACGGAGACTCCGCATGACCGCGACTCTTGCAAAGCAACGGGGAAAGGTCAGGCCGTAGTTAAAAAATGTAAACAAGTTTAACTAACATAATTCGTGTTTTAAACCTTTTAAGTGTTTTATTTAAATGTGATACTCGCGTAAACTATACACAGTATGAAACAGGGATGGGTGAAAATATGTACAAAGCTTATACAATATATATACAAAAAAATATGTGAATAGTTCTACCATGAAAATAAAATCTATTTATCCTTATCATTGTTCGGTTCCTCACTTTTCTCTTGCGACGTCTTTATGGTGGGTTTCTTCGCGTTATAAGATCTATCCCTCATTCGGTCCATGCGCATTAATGATCTACTCGCGCTACCACCCAGGCCTTGGATGTGCATTTCGGATCGTATGCGCCGCTGGGATGTGAGAGTGGGACGGAGATCGTTGTAGTACTCTTCTATTTCTTGTAACGTGAGCCCTTTTGTTTCTGGTAGGTAGAAGTGGAGGAAAATGCACCCTGAAAAGTGGGGAAAAGTTATAAAAATAAATTATAAAATGTGCAATCAAAAAAACTTTAATTAAGAGGAAATTTTGTCTATTGGAAACTATCTTTTAAAATGTAAAACTGTTTTGAAAATAGAATGAATGACTAAATATACCTATCCTAAATATATACTCAGCAAGTGCAAAATAAAAATCTACTCAGAATGAAAAAAAAAATTACGACACGGTTGGGACTTGAACCGGCATGCTCAGGATTCCGTGCTGTTCTAACCAATTGAGCTACCGTGTCCTCGCTCCTCTTACTCACTTAGTAATTTTCACATGTTGGCATTATATAAAAGCGAGGAACGCTGTAGATGCCGGTTCAAGTCTTGCTCGCGTCATAAAATTGTTTTAATCTAAGTAGATTTTTAATTTATATAATATGTTAAAAAATAAGAGTAGTTCGAAAAATGATATATTAATTATTGTTTAAGTATAGTAAAGTCTTTCGTTTTTAAAGAAACTAAGAGCTAAGACAATAATCATAAAATAACTTGCCCAAGAGCGAAGAGACACCAAAGCATATCACGGTATTGGGAAATCCGATTTTATCCCGCAAATACGGAAAGGACTTGTTCGCTCCGAAAATCATGAAGTTTAATATTGACATTGAAATACCGCCGAGGACACCTCGCACCTGAAAGAATCACATATATATTCTTCTATGTTTCCAAATAAATATATTTCCCTACTACATAGTCATATCGTGTTAGTGTAATTTTGCTAATGATTTTTGTTAGGCGCATTTTAGTAATATCTAATACTATCACGAAAATCGTTCAATCCGTCCGGAGGATTATGGAAAATTATATTGTAAACAAGCTTTTTAATTACAGTTCAATAAAACACTTTTAATAGTTTAAAATTCGAAATATATTAGCAGCAACAGTGGTCACGGGACAACTGAAGTTGGAGGGTGTCCCTAATTTAAATTTAAATGAATATAATAATATACGAAAGTGAGTTTATACTTACTTAAAAACTTATGAGCAATCGTCTCGGCTTAGTTGTATGAGAAAAGAAAAAAGTATCTTAGAACCATACACGCTAAGACGTAGTATATATTACAATAAAATACTTTAACGGCTTACAACGCGATATATGTCAGTTTCCCCGTGATCATGGCTGCTGCAAAGCATCCGAAATGTCGGGCAATAGTTAAAATAATAATAAATAAGTTTTACTAACATATATCGCTGTGGCCACAATCTCCCCGTGACCACGGCTGCTGCAAAGCATCCGAAACGTCGGGCCGAAGTTAAAAATTATTTTCAAATAAGTTTAACTAATATATCGCCATTTAAACCGTTAAAGTGTTTCATACAGACAGTACTAAAATATTATATGTACCTGCAAAGGATACAGTTCAAACATAACCAGTATGGGAAGAGTGTAATGACCAAGTGATGCAAATATGACGTAAACAATATAGCATATTTGGGGGTAAACAGTTGGGTATTTCTTGTATTGAATCATGATACCAAGAGTCAAGCAGACGATACCAACACCCAGACCTGGAAAATGATGTTTGAAGCTTAATAACGATAATTTTATAATAGGACAGACAAAAACAGGGTACACTAGATGGAAGGTTGGCCCAATTATCAATGGTTGTTGGTACAATTGCCACCATATCCAAAATGTTTCTAAATGTCTTTGGTTAATCCAGATATTAAATTGAATGGTAGAAATATCGATATTCCGTCCGGATCGTGAACCACCATCAAAAAGCCTTGAAGTTACAGTTACAGTCTGTTAAAATGTCCAAGTTCAAAAGTGCGTTAAATATATATATATTTTCCCACAGCTGGGACTCGAACAAACAAAGAAACGTAAGCATGGCAATCCAGCAAAAGTGTGTTATTATTAGATATAGAATAAAATAGTATTAGATACACATAAAACATACTATATCTGATATATTGCATTCATATTGGTTCTTCACTAACCTGATATAAGGGCAAGTGGTCTTCTTCCAGCTTTGAAGATGAGTATCGAAGTACCAATTCCTGATAGCAATCTCGTAATCCCCAACATTACGTTGCCCGCATGAGGATCAACTGAAGACTTGGAGTTCTAGACACAAAAAACCTTAATTCGTGTTGAATTAAGTTGTGTTGATAATGACGAGAAAATATTCTAAGTTAAAATTTTGAAGAAATACTTTAAAATTGTCAATGTTTATAAATTATAACGGACACAGAAATATATCTATCGCATGTTGTTCATATGATAGAAGATGAGAATGAAATATCTTTACATCATGCCTTTTTTATACGAGAAAACGATGGGACGCGAACGACGTTGTGGATATCAGCTATAGTTTGTAAGGATGACGTTTGCAAGAAAAAAATTGGAACAGGTGTTTTCAGCGCATTTACTAATAATACGGCCTTATTACACAAAAAAACTTAAATCAGGACTGTGGAGTCTTGGTTTAACTCTTAAACCATATTCTAAGGTAATGCCATAGTTAGTGCAGCACGAACGTAAAACTTCGTTTTGTAATGAGGATTTCAAGTAAACCATGTTTAAACCAGGTAATTGAGAGTTAGTCTTTGTTTTGTAATAAGAGTGCTTAAGTTTAGTATTATGAATATACCTGTAAGAAGTCAACAGCCCACATAACCAGTATGGTAACACCAGACATTTGAGTTATCAGGAGGTAAACCATGATAAACCAAAACGGCTTGCACGACGACTTTCGAAATAACGCTGCAAACTGTTCGCTTAAAGTTAACCTGGAATGTGTAATATAGTAGTTTTATTACTTAAATAGAAAAAGACATCTTTCTTTCTTGAGGAAGAGTTGCTTTCCACTGAAGAGTTATTTAGCATCACGGCATGGCAAATAAGTATGACCTACCCCCAAAAGTCGCCTACGACTGTCAAGAAGCCTGTCATTTATCCCGCTTGTCAAATAAGTGTTGCCAGATGACAAATCTACCACTTTGTTGACATTGAGTTCTACCCGTGTCATAACTTGTCCATTAGATTGACACATGTCGTAGAACTCAAATAGAGCACTTTAACGGTTTAAAATGCGATATATGTCTGTAAAATTTATTTGAATTTGAATTATTTTAACTACTGCCCGACATTTCGGATGCTTTGCTGCAGCCGTAGTCACGGGGAGACTGACATATATCGCGTTGTAAACCGTTAAAGTATTTTATTATAACTACGTCTTAGCATGTATGGTTCTAAGATACTTTTTTCTTTACCGAACTAACTGCTAACCCCAACTAATTATTAACGTCGATTTGTCAGACAACTAAGACGAGTTGATCGCTCATAAGTTTTTAAGCAAGTATAAACTCACTTTCGTATATTATTATCGATTTTAAAATCCATCAATTCGTCCATCTCCGCATCTATATTATGCTTCTTGGATCGGAACTTCTTCAACGCCTTCTCGGCGTCGTCAATGGTAGACTTTTCGAGGAGGTAATACGGTGTCTCAGGTAGGAGGAAGTTGAGGAAGAATAATCCGAAAGCGTAAAAGCCGGCGAAGTGACATAGGGTTGTCCAGTGGAAGGAGGCGCCTAGACCGGCCTTAAACAAATTATATGACTCTTAGATTAAAAAGCGATAGTCTTTACAATGTACCCTTTGTTTTGCTTGTTATTACTTACACCTACCCACTTAATAATTCTTTTTCTAGGACTCTGGAAGAGATTGCTGCTTAGGGATAAGGCCGCCTTTTATTTATAAGTTAGTACGTAAGATGTTTTCTCTTTTTATATGCATTTTTTTCTGTAGTACGGGTTATAAATAATAAAGCTGTCTATAGTTTACGCGAGTAGTACACATTTAAATAAAACACTTTAACCGTTTAAAACGCGATATGTTAGTTATACTCAGTCTCCCCGTGACCAGGGCTGCTGCAAAGCATTCGAAACGTCGGGCCGAAGTTAAAAATCATTTTTAAATCAGTTTAACTAATATATCGCGTTTTAAACCGTTAAAGTGTTTTTTTAAACAATAAGGCTATTATTAATATATAAAAAAAATACATTAGAATATTTACTACGCGGGCAAGACTTGAAGCCCGGAACGCTTTGCTACAGCAGGTTACTGAGTGTTAGTAGTACTTTAGTTTAGACTTACTTGAGCAGTAATACCAATAGACATAGCGACGTTAGGAAAGGAGCCGATGACGCCTCGCATATTGGGCAGAGATATCTCAGTCAGGTAGACCCGGGGCACGCTCATTATCATGCCTACTCCAATACCAGTTATAATTCTGCCTAAAGTAATATATTAAAAAAACATATTAAGGCTTAAAAACTAATTTATATAATTGATACTTCCTACCAGGGACTTTAAAATAGCTTATAAAGTTTGTTATATCAATTAATAAAAATAGTTATTTATTTTATATCATCTTTTTGTGAGATAGACAAACATGGGTTTCACCTAATGAAAGGTGAAATACGCCAGCCATGTGACATTTCTATAAGATGTGATGCCGACCTATTTTGGTTTTAATATTCGGAAATCCATTGACTGCAACCGAAAGGGGATAAAACTTCATGACTTTTTTATATGTGGACGGTGGTTCGTGATGATCCTACCCACCTACTTAATGTCTAGATTTTTTCACAAACTCTTGCTATGGAAGAATTATTATCTGATTTAAAAAACCCGGTAGCCACCGGTAGTGATCGAAAAATGTGTCACACAAAAAATTATATCTCGTACTTAAGGTATGTATAAAACAATAGTATGTACCGATAATAATATCCCTCGCAATCTTTGAGCAGCCCGTATAAAACCAGCCAGCGCTGACTGGTAGAGTGCTGACTATCAGCATCGGACGACGACCGAGTCTGTCCATCAAGTACCCGCTGATTACGCATCCAATTGGTGAAACAAGTGTTAATATACTAGCTAAAATATGTATTAAGTGTGTTTTTTATTTAATTTAATGCGTAGTAAGTTTAAATAAAACACTTCAACGGTTTTAAACGCGATATATATAGTTTAACTTATTAGATAACTATGACCCGACATTTCGGATACTTTGCAATAGCCGTGGTCACGGCGTTTTAAACCGTTAAAGTGTTTTATTTAAACTTGTGCTACTCGCGTAAACTACATACAGTACCTACCTAGCAAGTTCTTAAAAAATATTTCCACGTAACGCTAACTTTACGGGCCATTACATAAACATTTATTTTAATTCAATTCATTCAAAAGAACAAAAATTAACTAAAAATAATTAACTAGTAACAGTAGGTAGTTCCTGAGATTAGCGCGTTTAAACAAACAAAAGGATAAACTTCCGAAAAGCGCATACCGCCGATCGATCTGAAATTTGGTATACTTATGTTTTTTGACCTCCTAATCACGAATATCATCAACGAAAATTGGCGCAAACGCCATTTTGAATATAAAAATCGAAAAAAGCTCTTTTCGTTCAGTGTGCCTAATCACGCATTTCTAACCAATGTAGACTATTTGAGCTAAATACCTTTAAAAGTTTAAAGAACTATAATTTTAATGACTAGTAGTAGACATAATAAAATTTTAAAGATCTTTATTATTTATAACCAACAAATATACTACGAACTCAAAATGAGAATATTAAATAAATGATTTAACGAAAGACAAAATGTATTACGTATCTCTTGGATACTAATATTAAAATAATAATATTTTAAGGAACTAATGGCAAATTGCAATCAAGCCGATAAAAAACTTCATCATTCTTTCCATATGTTAATTAACCCTTACCAATCCAAGACTCCTGACTTATGTTTAACGAAATATCTGAGTCTGGGCTATTCAACTGCGGTAAGGCCACAGCTGGGAAACTAAACGCAAGACCCACCATAACAATAGACAGATTCACCCAAATACCATAGCCGAATTGGATGAGCGATGTCGCCGTGAAAAATCCAGGGTCTGGGTAAGTGGACGATTGTAATGACATTGTTTCACATATTCACATAATTAAAATTATAAACTAAAAGTCGATTCATATATTTTTGTATTATTTGATCTTATACTGACAAACGTCTCGTTCTTTCTATATAGACAACACAGATAATTGCAATTATCGAATGTCATTGCGCAGTGCGATAATTTTTATGCGATTTTGGGATAATTCTATTTATAATCTGTAACAACGCTTGTATAATAGTAGGATTAGGATTCTTGAAAACCATTGATAAAACATTTCCACTTTTCTTTGTGCTTCTTCAAAGTCTAGACGATTCATCAATGCGACTTAAAAAATTGCCTGGAAGAGATTGCGTTAGCGATAAGGCCCTATTTTTAGTATTCAAGTCTCATTTGTATTTTTCTTTTTATCTTTGTGCATTAAAGTTTTAATAAAAATAAAATACAGAGGCTCTAAAAGTTTTGATATAGTTTCATAAAGTTAAACGTTTCTAATTAATTAAAAAATTTGTATGGCGAAGCTTTTTACTAACAAAAATATTTATTGTATGAGACAAAGTCTTATACAGAAATGTCTTCTACTTATAAATAAAACCACCATGTTTACAATATAATTTATTTCAATCACCATGCATCTCTCATCACACCAATAAATAATACTAAGTCTAATAAGCTTTAACAAATGCACATAATGGTCAAGCTGCCATTTTTGGGTAACCAGTTATAAATGCTTTTAATTTGTATAATTTTCCTTGTTATTTCATGAACTAAATATCTATTTTATTAGTAATTTCGTTCAAAAATGATTCTTCACAATGTTAAAATGTCTGCAACCCTCATACGTTAAAAAGGGCCATTGACCTCAGGAGTAAATAACTTTACATCTTTTCATACAACAAAATAGTTTTCACACCAAAAGTTTTCCATAGCGTCTTTGACATAAAAATGTATTCAATCACTGTTAAATTACAGTATTACTACAGATATTCTAAATACATCGAAGTTAAATAAAATAAATGACCCTACCTCTCATACCATCCAACTAGTGTTGCCCAAACGCAAGAACAAGACGAGACTTAGCCAGTCTTGGTCTTGGTCTTGCGCCAATACACCTGGTCTTGGTCTTGGTTTGGTCTTGCGCTCCCAGTCTTGGTCTTGGTTTGGTTTGAGCAAGAGTCTTGCAAGTCTTGCAAGTCTTGCAATTACCTATTAGTCTATTACTATTTATTAAAGTTTACTTTCAATCCTAGAAAAACGTATTAGAATTGGAACATTGTGAGCTTGAATGAATATAGCCATAGTAAAGATCAAGCAGATTAATAAATAACTGAAGATTTGATAAGAAATTCGAAAAATCAACTGACCTATATGTCGTTTTCCATGGAAGTAACTGTTTCTTAATAAACATTTATGATTTATAAGCTTACATTTGCTAAAACATGTAAAAAAACAAATTAATTACAATAACTTGACTGTATTTTAAAGAACAATACTTATCTGTCTAAAAAAAGATTGAACCCTCAACTTATAAGAAATTTAATAAAAGTGTTTTACGATTTAAATAAAACACTTTAACGGTTTAAAACGCGATATATTAGTTAAACTTATTTGAAAATGATTTTTAACTTCGGCCCGACGTTTCGGATGCTTTGCAGCAGCCGTGGACACGAAACGTCGGGCCGAAGTTAAAAATCATTTTCAACTAAATATCGCGTTTTAAACCGTTAAAGTTTTTATTTAAATGTGTTTACTCTCGTAAACTATAGACAGTATTTAGTTTTACGATTTATCATTTATTTGAATAAAAAATAAAATACAACACAAATCAACAGCTTTATCATTAGGTTATGATACTTTATATCAATTTTTTTGACCAAGAATTAATACAAAGTAACCATCTGGCTGACTGACTCATCACTTAACCTATTTCTATGTTAACAATAATATAAAGCGTGTAAAAAAATTCGAAATTATTTTGCATGAGTAACCTACGCCCTATGCGGCAATCAATAGTGTCAAATGTTATGATTTCGGCGTGGCGGCAACGATTGTTTTAGATTTCAAAAGAGCCGCCAGCCGCCGGCGCGTGTATCATAACCATGTACTTCCGAAAAGCGGCAAATTTCTTTGAGAAGTAAGTACAAAACTTTTGATGCCGCATTATCAAAGACCCGATGGTTAAAACATAACTATGCATGCACTCAGTTTGATTTTAATAATTTTTTTATTCGTATTTTATGGTATTAGTGTAAGCATAGGTCCAGTTTTTCATATTCTTTGATACAGTTTTTTGCGTCTCATAGAATTCCTAAGCGTACCTACCTACACACCGAACTGTTACTTCTAACTATCAGGAGTGTCCTGGAGAGGAGTTTGCAGGTAGTTTGCTCAAGTCTTGCACGTAGTTGGTCTTGGTTTACGCGGTCTTGTTTTGGCTTGGTCTTGCAAAAACGCAAGAACAAGACCAAGACTGCAAGACCAAGACTGAATTTGGGCAACACTACATCCAACCATACAAGAACAACGAACGATACGAAATTATCTGAAATTTCTTATTAATTACATTGAATTACTAAAAATATGGCACTAATACTAATCATTTACACCTTAATACTTTTACGTTATCACAATAATTGATAGTCCTAGAATGAAATTTTAAAAGTACTTTGCAAATATTTACGTATAAACATTTTCAATTGTAAAATGACTAATTTTTTTCTAAACCTAGAATTGTACTTATTTACAGCTATCTCGTGATATTAGAATCTCATACCTATTATAATGATAATCTTACCACAGCAATTTTCATTTTATATTATATGAAAAGCAACACTTTTAATAAATTAAAATAATATCATCTACAAAATTGCAATTACTAATACATTTTTGAATTACAAAATGTACAATTGTAAGCAATGGTCTAAGGTCTGTGGTCTTAGACGGTAACTAAAAATCCAGCAACACATCTACGCGATTTCCGTCTGCGTGTTTTTCCTAGACAAACTTTTGATGCGACCAGAGAAATAATCTTCTATCTCCTGTAAGGATTTTCCTTTCGTCTCGGGCAAGAAGAAGTAGAAGAATGCCGTTCCTAAAAACAACAGCATATTAATAGTTTAACACTTCACTACTTATAAGTGCGTATATTTTACTTTCAAACAATTGCCAGCCCAGATCTGAAGGTCTAAGAAAGAAGACGAATAACATTCTTCCAATCTCCGGGATGAAGCGAGAATTATTTTTTGGGAATTTTTGACATTTTGTCCAACGTGGGAATCGAACCTAAAGCCTAGTGTCCTTTAGACAAAGAAAAAAAATTACACTATTAAAATTATCAAAGAGAAAAAGGGTCAAACTGTACTTGTAATACAAAGTTTACTAACCACAAAGTGAGAGACCGCCATACAATCCAAACGTTCCGTAATCGTTAAGTGAGTGCTTAAGATAGGGGAAAGTTTTCACCACTGTGAATATGGACAAATGAGCGATGCACGTTGTCATGCCACCGATTATTCCACGAACCTGTAAATAAAAAACACCTATTTATCAATATCGTCCGGCTTGAAGGACCAATCTTTATTTTATTTCTACAGTAATATTGCTTTATATTAAATTTTATGAACGCAAGTACAAGATACTGTGTTTTTATTTGTACAACAGCAACTTTCTTTTTTGTTTATTATAACTTGAGTGTGGCACCGCTGTCCACACTCTAAGGACTTACTGAAAATCAGTTTCAGGTCAACAAAGGGCCTGATATAAACTGAGTAAGATCCTATTCTACTAGCAGCACACAACATTATCCTGTCTTGTTATATTACGTGTTACGATAAAATTGTTGTTTTTTTTATATGTTTTAGTAATAAGTGTAACATGTTCTTTTGTGTGCCTTAGTAGTAAATAAATTTTTCTTTCTTTCTTTCTATATAGTTGATGATTTATCATAATAATAATTGTGTACTTTTTCAGTCATTATTTTAATATTAATACAAAAAAGTACCACAATAAGAATAAGATGCATTTAATTATGATTTATAACATACACACACCAAAAAAGGAAAACAGAGTAATGAAAGTTTCATTTGCGTGGGGTACACGTGATGGAATTAAATACCCCAGACGGGAATAACATCGAAACAAAATGTGCTGTCGACCTATATTTATTTTGAATATTTGGAAATCCACAGACTTAATCAGAAGTGGATTTACACTTCATGACATTTTCACCTGTGGATGGTGGTCCGTGACCCGGGACGGAGATTTATCAAAATTTTGGTCTTTTGGTTGATAAATCTGAAAGCTTATGCGTTGATTTTTCGGACCGACTGACTCAAAAAATTTCTGCGAAATTAATAAACAAATACACAAAGTGCAGTAAGTATTCGGTAAGAACATACCTGCGTGGGATAGACTTCGCCGATCATAATCCAGGGCACTATAAGGAATCCCAAAGTACAAAATACCATGAAAAGGTATATGCTGGCCACCGGGATCCAAGAGTATTGTGGTGGAAGGTTGTTCTCCTTCCAATATTGAACGTAGTATAGATAGACTGAGAGAACCACCATCGATGTTCCACAGCCTAGAGCTAAAGAAAAATGTATATATTTATTAGTTTAATATTTGAAACTTTTTTTTTTCCATATAAAGCTTTAAGAATATCTTCAATGCCAATACAGATATAAATAAAATTAAGTATTATAAAATATTATGGTATTTGGATGTTATTATTTGTATATATTGCACATGATGTTATTGTATAAAATGTAAATAAGATTGAAAAAAATCAATCACACGAGCGGGGTTTGAACCGACACCTACAGCGTTCCGTGCTGCTCTCAGCAATTAAACAATAAATTCTTCCTGATAATCTATATTGCAATACGGTAACTAAGTTAATCTAAGTAAAATTATTTAATTATTTTTTTATATTTAATATTACTTAGCAATATTATCAATAAAATAAAATCGCTGAATTTTTATTAATTCCTAATATTCTAATAGTTTTTGAAAGTTTATTTAAAAACATAAAAACGATTTTGATTGAAAAAAATGTACGACACGGACAGGAAAATTGTTTGTTTTTTTTACAATCTAAAATCGAGTTTTAATTTATAAAGTGCCATCATGTGCAATAAAATGTGGAAAATATTAAAATGATCATGTCATCAAATGATCTTTAATTGTTAAATACTGTCTGTAGTTTACGCGAGTAGTACATATTTAAATAAAACACATTTTAACGGTTTAAAATGCGATATATATTAGGTAGACTTAATTGATTCTTCTATATCTACTGCCCGACGTTACGGATGCTCTACAGCCGTGTCGGGGGAGACCGGTGTTTCTCACCCCGTTCTCGCGTTTTAATCCTTAAATATTTTTATTTAAATATTTAATTTATTTTTTTAACTTACAAGATACAAAAGTGAGAGGTCTCCTTCCACAGCGACGACACAAAATGCAACCGACAACGGTGAATATCACTCGTAGAACACCCATGGATATTGTTAGCGAGTACTTGTCAAGCGAAGCACCGGAGGCCTGAAAAATGTTATCAATTGCTTATTTCTTCATTCTAATTGGTTGTTGAAGTATATACTTACGACTTAAAACTTAAAAAATATACGAATCACATTGAAAACATCGCTTTTTGAAGTTGGTTAAAAGTAGCTATTGTATATATTTGCGCGAATGTAGCGTACTATGGAACAAAGTGATATTAATTCCTTATTTTTAAATAATTATTGCTATCATGTGAAAAATATTAAAGTTTTCAATATGTATTAATATTTACCTCAAACACTTCAACAGCATAAAAGGTGATCGTATTCACCCCACACCACTGGTAGATGAAAAAATAAAGCGCCAATATTCCGAACGGCTTCAACGCAGATGGCGCTAGCAGTGCTTTGATTATTTCGCGAGGCGTTCTTAATCTGTGGAGGAAATAAACTTAGTTATTTTATTTAGTAGTCATAGATACTAGTGTTATTTTAGAGAGAAAGTAGTTAAGCAATATCATGAATAGATTCATTTTGTAGGGGAGCAAAGTGGTAGATAAGTTGAGTTATATAAAACCTTGATAAAATTCACTGTCAACCTATTGGCTATGACTTCCACAGACTGAAAGCGAAACGCGATCAAACGTCTTCTTTATCTGTGGACGGTAGTTCGTCACCCGGGCTGAACTTCGATATCCAATATCCAGATTTCTAAGTAAAGTTTTTCAGAAAAAAATGGGGATCGAAGTCACGACCCGTTCATTAGCTTTACATTGCTACTAATGGACTATTTATAAAAAATATTTCGATTTACGAAAAGACTTAAATAAATATTATTGCCGTGGAATTATTTTGCGTTGTAAGTGTTACGTTTCAAGTAATTATTAGGGGAAGCAAACTACCTTTCTCGCCTAAGAAATTAGTTATTTCAATGTCGTTTATATAAATTACAATAATTCAATTTAAAAAATGTGACAATGCCTATTTATGTCATATTTAATCGTCAAGGTGCTGTTAAAATGCGTAAACACGGTAATAAATCATAAATATTTATCGAACTATTTAAGTTGATAATGGGAAAACAAAACGCACGTCACGTTACCTCTGAACAAACAGACAAACAAATGAATAAAACACGAGAAAACATATCACATTGTTACATAAAGTATAATACTCAATACTAGCTGTGTCAGCGTCTTCGTCCGCGAGATCGTTATTTTGGGCATCCAAATTCGTTTTTGCAAACCCCTTCATTGTTAAACTTAAGCTGTTACCCACGACGTCGATCGCGTCCCTTCGCGTCGTTCTTGCAAGATAACCTTAAAAGATAGACATATGGCGTCGCGGACGTTTTTAGGTCATTTAAAGAGAATCATTTTTTATAAATTTTTTGGGTATCTTGAACCGTTTTTGCAGTGTACGCCTCGAAAACCCATAATGTTAAATAATTTTCCCATTTTTTTCACATTTCTCGCTGTATCGTCGCTTGTATTAGTTACAGATCGATGTTTTAGCCTTTATCCTTCCCCAATAAATGCTCTAGCCAACACAAAGGAATTCTTCGGACCTCTAGTTCCTGAGATTAGCGCGTTCAAACAAACTAACTCTTCAGCTTTATATAGTAGTATAGACATTGTTTACCCTCCCATATCATGAGATATATGTTACTTATAAATAATAAAGCACGATAATAACGTAACGTAAAAACTAATTTAATATACAGTTATTGCTTTTTTATCGACTATTGTGTACTTGTTTCAAATAATGTCCCAATACTTCAATATAAATTTACGCAAATATACAAGAATCTTTACAATACCTATTCTAGGACTTAGTAATGTTATATATGTATAATATACTTAAATGTATAAGGCGTATTAAGAATGATAAAAATAAATTTATTTAAGTTATTAAATGGAAGAGAAATTGAATTAAATTTGTTTGATAATTTATACACACAATGTTACCATAAAAACCATTACGTGTGACTCTTATAGCTAATTGTGTGGATTTATACTAGTATTATAAAGCTAATTAGTTTATTTTCGCGCGCGCTAATCGCAGTAACTACAGGTTCTAATTGAACAATTTTGTGTTCGATAGACCATTTATCGCGGAAGGCCTCAGGCTATATAAAATCACGCTGCGACCAATAGGAGGGACCCGTTGAAAATGTAAAAAAATGGAAAGGTCTAAAATCTATCTTTCTGGGCTTCCGCTGCGTGCCCTACGGAAACGTTCCAAGAAAACAGTGATGTAAAAACATCCAGCACAGTATGTATCGATCTTTAGGGATTAAATGCCAAGAACGTTGTTATGAAATTTAGTTAAAATTAATGCATATATAACCAATAATTTGTCAGAGTTGTCTTGACTATATAATATTTATCTAGCAACTTACAATAGAAGGTGTGCCGAATCAGCTGTGTTGGGATATAACCGAGTATTATTAATTCGGTATCCCTCACCTACCAACCCGCGTTGGGTCAGCATCCGACCCATCCACGTATAGCGAGAAAAAACTCACGGTTCGACATGGTTCTTCTCCTTAAACGATATCATCTTCTGTATTTCCTCGTTCAAGTTACAAGTGGACCCCCTGAGCTTGGAAAGAGACTTTTCGGCTTTCTCCGGTTTGTCCTGCGTTAGGAGGTAGTTGGGGGTTTCTGGGAGCGCCAGCATTCCCAAGAGAGAAACGATGGGAACAATAGCGCTTACACCGGCAAGTATATTCCATGACGTCGCACTACCAATTACATACTGAAAACAAAAGAAACATGATTTAGTATTTAACTAATTATATTAGGTTTTATTTTGGTTTAAAAATAACGTTGCTCGCTACACATACACTTAGTGTAATTTAAAACACTAACGGTTTTAGGACGCGAACTATATTAGTTAAACTTATTTGAAAAGTGTTTTATATACGGCCCGACGTTTTATACCGGTAAAGTGTTTGGGGTTTGAAGGAACCCGCTCTAATAAGAAAATATATAAACTTCGCGGTAAAAGAAGTGGCGGCGAGTTTCTTGCCAGTTCTTCTCGTTCGTTCTACGCCTTTCACTTGAGAACTGGTCGTTAATATAAATATAGTCTTTAGGTTTTAACTGGTGTGTCGTTTATAAGTGTACATAGTTACTTATTTTTAATAACCACTGATTGTTATAATGCAATCCTAAATGACTTATTATTCATTTATATTATTTCTAATATTAAAGAGCTTGTGTACTTTTATTCTAATAGGAACCGGTAATAACTTCGGTGCAGTACTTAAGAAATACGGATTCTCGGCCTGTTGACTCAATATATAACAACGGTAACACAACATAATTTGTGACGAAAGACGAATGGATCTAATCGCGTTAAGTAGATCTATGCTGGTAAATAAAGAACAAGTGTATTGCACAAGCGAGTGACGTGAATAAATATTTAACACTTGTAAAAAAACATACAAAATAACTGTATCCTAGCAATATTAGATTAGCATTTATATTAGAAGTATCTGTGCCGGCGACTTCGTTCGCGTCCCGAAGTTCTTAAAATGTAGACGTATACTGTCACGGACATTTTTTTAGTTAATTAAAGAAAGGAATAACTATTTTACACATATTTTTTTGATTTATAATGAACCGTTCCGTTTCGTCGTTCCTATTAGGACGCAGACTAATAATGGCCTTGCCTAGATAAATGGTCTTCACAAAAATAATTCTTCAAATCGAAACAGTACTTAGTTCCTGAGATTTGCGCGTTCAAACAAAAAAAGTCTTCAGCTTTAAAATATTAGTATAGATGAGGAAATATTAATTTGTGACACTTATTACTTTACGGTAATTGTAAATAAATAATAAAACGTTTCCATGTCGTTATATATAGTGGGTACGTAGGTACCATAAAAACACATATATAAAAACTTACGTTTATAATTTAATATTTATTTCAACCTTTAGGTTGAAATAAATATTAAATATCCATTAGAGATAATAGAATAACAAATAATTATTGTACTAACTGTGCCCGCGACTTCGTCCGCATAGAATAGGGACATCGAAAAGTGCCCATTAATAGCCAATCTGTGTTGTAAGTGCTACTTTACCGCAACACTCCCACTCTCACGTCACATCACTCCTACTCTCACTCCCATACCCAAACAGCCAAAGAAGAAAGCTTCATTGTTCTAGCTTCAAAAGTCACGAATTTCCATACAAACTTTCATCCCCCTTTTCAACCCCTAGCAACAAATTTTTTGGCTATAGGCTATAGAATATATCTGTGTACCAAATTTAATTTAAATCGATTTAGTAGTTTCGGCTCTACAGCCAGACAGACAGACACAGTTACTTTCGCACTTATAACATTAGTCTTGAACATATTTGCGTAACGAAAAATAGTATACGATTTTTTTATGGAAATCAGATGATTTAAATAAATATTATCTTCTTATTTTTCAAACCTTTATACACAGTAGCTACGTGTTAATGTTCAGTATAGAAGTGTTACTTTGCCTTATGTGGGGCAGAGGATCAGAATTATATTACGGGCAACTGGTTGTGATACTTCTGTGTCCCGCCAGACGAGTGCTGTATATATGAATAATTTTATCCGGGATACGAAGCGAGTTCTCGTGTTTGAAGGCGAAGCGTTGAACCATTGAACTATGGAGGCGGTTGATGTTGTATATAGAACCTAAAGTATTTAGGTAATATTGTCTAATGTTATAATTATACAATTCATCGGATTAAACTTTAACAATAGATCGATTATAAAAGATATTAAAGCTATCTACTCACGGTCGACTTCACACGATATTTATCACTTCGATATTGTCAACGGTGTAAAACACGAAATATATTAGTTAAACTTATTTGAAAATGTAACTACGGCCCGACGTTTCGGATATTTGCCGCAGCCGTGATCATGAGGAGTCTACTCGCACTCACTAATATATTTCGCGTTTTAAACCGTAATAGTGTTTTATTTAAATGCGTACTATTCGCGTAAACTACAGAAATCATTAAAATTGCCAATAATAAATCGCTGGGATAAGTCGTAAGATGTGTAACCGCCCTAACATTATATTGTTATCACTTGTGACGTAATATGTACACAATTTACCTATCTCATGTAATGTTCAAATGCAGATAATTTACGCCGTTGATCTAATTTGACACGACACAAAATGATTATGTTTGCACGGTCCGTCACAAGATCAATTAGCGAGGCACGCGAATATATTTATAACAGGGATATTTGCAACAGTAATCATGAGTTTTAATGTTTAAAATTCACATGTGAAATTCGTGAATTTTTGGTTAGATTGTTTAAACATTATTTTTCACATGTTTAATGTGTAAAATCACATTTGCACATGTAAAAATGAAAGATACATAATTAAAATGAAAATCACATTTCTCCATACAAATGTAGCTTTATCTGTTTAAAAGATCAATATTATTTTTGGTTAAGTAAATTAATTCTAACCCATGCACGACCGAAAAATTTACCTTTCCCCCGGGGTCCGATACCGGGACCTCTAGTCGTTAACGTATTCATAGATTTCCCCTCTTGCCCTTGTCAGAAAAAGGAAAGAAACTCCTATTACTAAACTCGACGATAATAAATTACTGAGTCATTAGTAACATTTGAATGGCCTTGCCTGCAAGCGAATTTTTCAATTCTAATAATTTTAACCACACAAACATGGAAATTTCTAAGAGAAAATGCGTAAAAATGGGCGTATCACTGACGTAGTTGGTTATAAATCATGATAATGTTAATTTGTCAACTATATTTGGCTTTTCTAATCATCAATCAAGTTTTACATAATTCGTTGGTGCATAAATTTAAAAACATCGGTTCTTCATGTTTTTAATAAAAGTATTTCTTAAATTGTTTTTTATTCAATTAAATAAATTCGTGCAAACTTCTTTGTTCCTTTTAATATAGTATTTGAATCAGGTTATGCTTTACCTTAAAAATTATGTTATTTAATCGATATTACATCTCATTAATGTAAAAACTATTAAGTAGTAAATATAACAAGAGCGAGATTCGAACCTACACCTCATGATTAACAAAGCAAAACCGTGCATTCAGCATCTGTTTTTTAGATGTACACATATGTGTCTTTCAAAAAACCGAACTTCCCAAATTCTAACTATTTATTGCACAACAATTACACCAAAGTAGAACAAGACACTTAAAATAATATATAAAAATAAGAACGTTTCTGCAAAGGCGGCCTGTCTATGGTAGTTTCTTCCAGGCAAAATATTTCCATGTAGGGAAAATAAAAATATGTCATAAAATGAACATTTAACAACATAACGGAAAATATAAGCCAGGTAGGTACTAACTTTTTTGGAATTAATTTGTGTTTCAATACTAAATTTAGTATGAAACTATTTAGCAAGTCAATGAGGTTTTTTCCTTCATTGAATAAACAATAGTAATTATTGTGAACGGTTTGATAAGCTATGGGAATTTGTGATTTATTGAAAGACTAGAATGGGGAATCGTTAAGTATTCGTGTTTATAATCAAGGCTACGCTTTTTAACTAGTTTTCGTGGCGCATTTTATTCCTTAACTAGCTTGTAACATTGTCTTTCCCTTACATATTATTTTTGGCTATATTAGGCTATTAGCAGATATAGAGACAGAAGAACAGTATTTTTATTTTTCGTTCTTTCACCAAACTAACTTTATATTTGTCAAGAGCTGTAAGTAAGAAAGAAAATCACTTTAAAAGAAGTAATGCCTATAGTATACTGCGTAGCGTACATTTATATAAAACACTTTTAAGGGCTTAGAACGCAAATAATTCAACAAAAATAATAAATAAGGTAAATATTACATTTCACGTTTTACACCGTTAAAAGTGTTTTTTAATGTTTATTTGCCATTAAGACATTTAACGTGCAAAGTGAATTACAACAATTTGTATAAATTGAAATAGGTATTGGATCTATGTCTGGGATCCGCATAATTTTCTTATTTCTGGTCTTGGATATATGTACTGGGATCAGTAATATATTTTTTTTATTATTTCTCTAAAATAGTCAACATCGACAGAACGTATTTTTAATATATATTATAGACGTAAAGAAAAAACAACCTTTTATTAATATTGTAAACGACACTCAGTTTGATTAGATAGCTACAGTGGAGCTGTTATCAAGGCAACCCTAACAATGCTCGATTTGACCAAAATAATTAAATTGAATATCTGATTTGAATGTAATGGTTTTTGGCAAAAAAAAAATTACTAAAAAATAAATAAAGTATCATAATGCTGTTACATACAAATCACGGTGTAGTAGTTAAAAACTATAATAATTGCATTTTAAACAGTTAATAAGGTTGAAATTGTTTCTAAAACTTCAGAATTAATGTAAAAAAATAGTAATGAATGCATTACTCACTAAACTTTGTTTATCCCTTTAGACACACTTTCCTTTTCATGAATTTTTGTACAAATGTAGGTTTATATATAAACTTATTCTTCGAGAAATGAAGTTAACATCTCCTGATAATGCCGTATGCACGAGACACGAATCGACAAGAGCTCTTCTAGCTCACGCCGACCGCTCGTCCTAATACAATGACATGCTGAACGAAGGCCGTGTAAGCTGACATAATTAATATAACTAGTTGACAATTATTCAATCATTTCTTTAACATATTAAAATCGTCTCTTTTTTTCATTAAAAAAGTTATAAATTGTATTACATAGGTATAATAGGACATTGTTTAAAGCTTGTATACATATAAATCTAAGGAAAGATTAAAATAATTGTAAGTAAATTTTTGTTAACAAACAAACGAACCTGTATCAATACACCAGTGGAAACGCCAACTGACGCCATCGCGCCCAGCATTCCTCGTAAATGCGGCTGTGAAACCTCACAAGTGTACACCCTGGCTGGGGCACCCACCATGCCAGAACCGAAACCCACCAGCAATCTACCTGTAAGTCAAGGGAAAAACATTACCAGTGTATTTCGCGAGCCTAGAATTTATTATATCATTGAAGTAGTAAGTTTGTATGGAGCGTGACGTAACGCGTTATGATAACAGTCTGTTTGGCTTCCTTTTCATAAATACTGCCAGAAAAGTAAAATATCGCGACATCACCTAGTTTGGCTTTGGATATTCGGAATTTAACAGACACTTACCAATATAAATCATGATCACATTCTGCGCGAATGAGATCATAATCCACCCCACTATAAGAGGCACCTCGGTAAATATTAGCGTGCGTCGCCTTCCGATGTTGTCCATAAGATAGCCACTGAGTATACAACCTATTGGAGTTCCCACTGCACTCAAACTTGCTGAAACAATGTGTTATTAAAATTAAAAAGGATTTGCCACATTGCATTTAAGTAACTGTGCGACTTTGTCCGCGTAAAATAGTTATAGGGCATCAAAATTTGTTTTTGCAAACCTCCTTAGCTTTGTAAATTAAACCTGTAGTTCTTTCAAGTTAATCTTTAAAGAGAAACGGATGTCATGGAATCGAACCAATCCTTCTTTACGGTTGAGAGCCTTGGACGCTAACACTCAAAGATAAGGAACAGCTTTTAGTGGCAGAACGAGAAATATTGTGTAAGATTCTGGGTCCTATATAAAGCGATCCTCCCATCGAGTTGCTAAGGATCGTGCTAGAAGAAGGGAGCTCGAAAAGTTGTTTGCCGTCCGCCATTAATTATTGACAATTAGTTTAATGCCATTATGTGCAATAACCAGTACTAACCAATCCAACTGGCTTCACCCTCAGTTATATGTATAGTCGAGTTAGCACTCTTCAATTGAGGCAAAGCCGTTGCCGAAAAGCCGAACGCCATTCCCGTGTTAATGGTCCCTATATTGACTATGAGAGCCACGATTATCTGCTTCAGGGCTTTTCCTCTGCCTTCTTTACCCGTTTTCTCTTTCGCCGGTTTCTCTGGCGTTTTCGTGATTGTCGCTTTCGCGCCATTTTTTATGAAGGGCGTTGCGTCGCTCCTGAAATGACGCAAAATGTGTTAAAGAAAAATTCACATAACAATTAAACGGATTTAAGCGCGGTAGTTTTTCATAAATTATTTTAAAGTTGCTTAAAATGCATGTTGCCTAGCATTGCGTTAAGCGCCAGAGGTCCTGAGTTCGAAATCAGGGGAAACAATAGATTGATTCGGTCGGGCAGGGCACAGAAGTCTGACCAACTACTTGCCTCTAAAAGAGCTGATCAGTGAAAAGGACACGCCATGCCCAACGGGAGGAAACCGGATTTCACTTCTTGTTATACATATTATACTTTACTAATAAGAATTATTTAAAACTTAGACTTTTAGCAACATAAAACCGCAACATATACTAATGGAACCTATTTTACTTACTTAGCTTCAACACAAAATCGCATTCAATAACATACAGAAAAAAACTTTGTCAATTTTTTTACATGTTATTGCACATGAAGGCACTATATAATTTACAAATCTAAAATGAATTAAAAAAATTGTCGATTTTAGAGCAACAGCACGGAACGCTGACGATGCCGGTTCGAGTCCTACCCGAGTCGACATTTTGTTCAATTTATTTTCGACTTTTAAATTACTTTGTCAAACTACAAATGCAGAAATAATACTGTTACATGCCCTACGGAGCCAAATAATCTACACATTTAACAAAAGTGGTCTAAACGCACGTGTGTAATTGATGTGTTTTGTGTCTGTGTGAGTGCCGGTACAGACAAAACAAACGCTATCACAAATAAAATTAATTGATGGGCAAGTAAACATAGCCGCGGGTTGTTCTGACTCATAATCCAGAAAGGTTATCCATTTGCAAGGTCAGATGTCCCCAAATAATCAATTGTCGCCCGGTTACTGATATACGACGATATTAGACACGAGCGGTGCTAAATATCGAACTAAAAAGTTGTAGATTTAAATACTGTCTATAGTTTACGCGAGTAGTACACAATTAAATAAAACACTTTAACGGTTTAAAACGCGATATATGTACTAGTTAAACTTATTTGAAAATGATTTTAAACTTCGGCCCGACGTTTACAATTACAAAATACCAATACAGTCTTCCCGTGACCACGGCTGCTGCAAAGCATCCGAAACGTCGGGCTGAAGTTGAAAATCATTTTCAAATAAGTTTAACTAATATATCGCGTTTTAAACCGTTAAAGTGTTTTATTTAAATTGTAGATTTGTCTTTATGTGTAAAAATATAAAGCAAGAAATAAAGATAACTATTTTCTACTTTTACAACTGAGACAAGCTCAACAAAAATCTAACTTGGCTGTAGTTTATGCATTTAAATATATATATTTATACATTTAAATATACCTACACTGAACGGTTTGAAACGCGAAATATATTCGTTAACTTATTCACACTTTATTTTACTGCTGCCCGATGTTTCGGATGCTTTACAGTAGCCGTGATCACGGGGAAACTTAGCATAGTGTCAAAACTGGTGTCCGGGGATCGAATTGACATTGACCTCTGACGGTCGCAATGTGTTTAACGTACGTTTGAAATACTTTTATAGAGTTAAGATAATTAAAGCAGCCGTAGTAAATATAATTTGTAAATAAGTTTATCTTATACTTTTGGCATCAGTATGAATCTCTTCAAATTGAATACAATCTTTGTATATATTATTATCTGAATGTAATTACATTTATTTCTTTCTAAGTATACTAAATGAATGCCAAATAAGGAGATTTATTATTAACACATTTCGCGTTTTGAACGGTTAAGAGTTGGTTTTAAAATGTTAAGAGTAGATTATAATTTGCAAAACACTCTAGAAGCACGTGACTGACAAGTACGGCGTCGTGCGAAAGCATTAAACACCCCAGAGTCGGCGACTGGTCTGATAAGAACGTAAATAATTATTATCACGAGTGTTTCATTTGCAATTGTTGTGATCTATACGGAAATATTGTAAATAAAATATAGCAAGAGAAAAGGAGATAAGAAAGACGCGCTTTCAAATATATAGTGTTTCTAAATACTGTGTGTAATTTACGCGAGGAGTACACGTTTTAATAAAAACACAACACTTTTAACAAAAACAATTTAACGTTACTATATTAGTCTTACATTGCTTCCTATCTACATAATATTATAGTTTTGACAACCACTTCTTGTGAAAACATTAATATTTTTCACATGTTGCACATGATGGCAGTATATAATTTAAAAAACGAAAATAAATTGAAAATTGTTTGATTCGGTTGCTCAATTGGTAGAGCAACGGCACGGAAAGCTGACGATGCCGGTTCAAGTCCGGTCCGAGTCGAAAATTTCTATTCATTTTCGATTTTACCACTTGTGCATTATCGTTATTTAAAACAAAACGTACATCCATTCCAGATTACCATTATTGTTCTATTTGTGGCCTTTATTACTTTCTGCGTAGTAAATGTAGCGGTTTAATTATATTTGTACATTTTATGTAGCACTAATTCATATTTCAAACAACTGCTTCTGAAATGTCGCCAAATATCGTCGCTAATAATAACGATATTATATAAATTACTATCTAATATATGTTATGAGTTTTTTTTTATTATTTATTGAGTAGTAATGGGTCATTTAAATAAAACACTTTAACGGTTTAAAACGCGATATATTAGTTAAACTTATTTGAAAATGATTTTTAACTTCGGCCCGCCGTTTCGGATGCTTTGCAGCAGCCGTGGTCACGGGGAGACTATCAAATAAGTTTAACCAATATATCGCGTTTTAAACCGTTAAGGTATTTTATTTAAATGTGTACTACTCGCGTAAACTATAGGCAGTATTTGGTAATGGGTCACTCAGTTTCAATCAGTACTACTATAAAATTGAGCTAGCTTTTTATCATTAACACTATTATCAAGTATTTTGTTCATTTTACGTTTATCTACTTAAAACTTCTTAGATATCAATTTTTTTTAAAAAGGTTTAAAAAAAAACATCTACGTCGCAAAAACTAACCTATAAATTTGGACTTTTTTATTCCATGTTTAATCTTTATAAAATACTGTCTGTGGTTTACGCAAATGATGCACATTTAAATAAAACACTTTAACGGTTTAAAACGTGAAATGTAAAAGTTAAACTTTTTTACGTTTTTTTAACTACGGGGAGACCACTACTTGCTGTCGGGCCGTAATTAAAAATATTTTATTGACAAGTGTAATTAATATATTTCATGTTTTAAACCGTTAGTGTTATGTTTCATATATATAAAGTATAAGTCCTATCAATGTGTATATAAAGGGATTTTTTTCGTCATCTAATAAAGTCGTAAAGATCAAAGTGACGGGACGGAAACGCCAAAATGGCGGTCATTATCAATTGGCCTTACTAATCGAGTACATAAGTAAGGCAATTATTACGCGATTGTTACGTCACAATAGCTCAATGTCCTAGACATTACCAATGCTTTATTTGAGGCTTACAGCCCCACAGATGGTAAAACCTTCTATGAAGCCTTGGTTCATGCTAATGGTATAAAATAAACGTTTTGCCAAAACATCACACTAAATATCACTAGAATATAGAACAAATAAAGTATGATAGTTCTTTGATAAAATCTGTGTTAGCAAAGATTAAAAAAAAACCAATGGGAATTCATATCAACAATTTATAAATGCCTGGGCTTCACGCTAAACCACTATCTAAATCTAGAAATAGCTCTACAAACCAAATACTTAACGTCATAGCCATCTACAAACCAAATACTTAAGTCATAGCATCTACAAACGTAAAAAGACAACGTACAAAACAATAATTGAAGGACGCTACCAAAAATCTTAATAAAAACATTAACTTACAATGATCCATAATAAGGTATGGAATCCCTTGATGTACCGGGCGTACTGCACCTATCGGACATTATTCACACTTTTAAATATCGAATTCGCGTAAACAAGCTTCACGTCACTGTTGCGCAAAATATCCAACTACCCGCAAATGATTGCACGTTACTAACAATTTCCTCTACTCATAGCAGCATGACTAGTGTGGTTTGTAATATAATTTGATAAAATATCGACTGGTCAGTCACGAGTATCGGTTTGATTAGGTCAATATTTGCCACGCATAGTGATAAGGGTAGATTTGTTATCAACATTTGAACTTGACTTAGCTTGTGCTTGAATATATTTAGACTGAACTTTAATAGTTAATTTTAAGGTAATAATATGGTTTATATGCAATTATAATGTATAGGCTTATCTAGTAATTTCCGTGTAATTTTAAAAAAAATATAAAGTACCTACATATATCAAATATGTATATCGATCACTCGTTCTGGTATAGTCAGTATTATACTTAGGACTACAGCTAAAATGATCAAAAAGGTGATCAAATGTTTGTTTGTATGTTTTACCATTGAACCTAATATACTGAATCGAGTCAATGCACTATAAAATCCGAATATCTTAGATATAAGTTAAAAGACAGCACATCTGAAATTGGCAATCTTAAAGTTCTATGGCATTTTACATTCTTTCAACTTGTCTGTTTAAAAAATCGTACGTATGTTTTTTATCCTTTGATTTAACCGATATTAAAGACGATACGCGACAAGCTATTATATTTGTATGTCATTGTAATCGAACACCATACAGTGACCAGAAGGCTCCTACATCGAGTAATATTTTTTATTATAACACGATTTTATACATTCCTATTTATTCACTGTGTCCCAATTACGTAGGTATGATAATAAAAAAAACAAATTCATAAAAAAAAACAAATTTGTATTTTGTTTTATACTGGATGATAAATTTGACAGATAATTAAATGGGCTGTACACTTATGATAATAAATAAATAATATTTACGAAATTATAAAAAATAAGTTCAGTATCTCGCATACAGTTTATCCAAGTATAATACATAATTTAATAAATATGAACTGAGACCTGTATCATCCATCATCCTACATTAAACAGATTGTAGTTGAATTATAACACAGATTATTTTGTAATCGTATGCTTTTTTATCATAA